CTAACACACTTAGCTATGGCACTGTCGTATACATTGAATTATTCCATTTGATAATATGTAATCAACTTAGGCACCCCTCACAAAAAGAAAAAAAAATTACAATAAAGATATTTATAACTCATATTCTCATATTCGAATACTTGAATAATTTCGAATATTCGATTAATCGTTCCCATCCCTAATGTATACAGTGGAGGAAATAAGTATTTGATCCCTTGCAGATTTTGTAAGTTATACTTATTTCCCACTGTTAAATGCAAATCAATTGTTATCTTTGAATTTCTGGATTTTCTTTTTGATATTCTCACTCTCACTGTTCTGCCCACCTTAAGTCATAAGTGTAAGAGTTTGGCTGGCTGTTTAATCTATGTTCACACTGAGGCAGTACAACACATAGAGAGAACAGTATACACTCACTGTTAAAATGAACCTACCATTACAATTATAGACTGTTAATGTATTTGTAAGTGGGCAAACTTACACAATCTGCAAGGGATCACATACTTATTTCCTCCACTGTATACAACCAGTGATATGTGTGGCTGTTGAGTCTAATCACACATTTCATAGCATTGATCTCCACCAGCGGCAGTCAACATGTCAACAAGTATCCTCCTCCAAATTGCTCTATAGGAATGTTTTAGAAGTGTATTTGAGTCGCTTTGGATCAAAAGTGTCAGCTACATGACATGTAATGAGGAGCTCAGGTCATTCAGTAACTAAAATTATTTATTACTTAGAAAACCTGATGATGGAAGGTTTCTGCAGGGTGTCCGCGGGGTCTTAAAAAGTATTCAAAGTTGATAAATCAATTTAGCGAAAATCAAGGCTATTAAAAAGTATTAAACAGCATTTTCCAAGGTATTACATTTTGTAGCTTGTTTTCAATAAGTATATAAATTGTCCAAAGAGGTTGTATTCTACAGTTTGCCTGAATGTAATCATTGCGTAGGTGTGTAGTGTGATTCTGTGTAGTTTATTTATGGCATCCCGTTGGATTTGACGTCATCTGAACAGGACATCGCGCGCTCACTGCTTGATAGCGCGCGAAGGTCCGTTTACGCCGGTTGTTAAACAACATCGTTATGGGGGAATGCAAGTCTGCGTCCAAATGGTTGGAAGATAAGGAGGAAGGACAATCAATACTGTATATAGTCAATGTGAGGTAAAGTGTGTCGCCAATAGGCGCGTTCACACCAAGTACTTTTCCCACAATAGTTCATGAGAACTCTTTTAGTTCTGAGGATTGGACGACGACATGCACGCGCGATGGATTGCGTAACCTGTGTGAAATGAATAAACTGTGCCAGGTGTAACCGGTTAGAACTCAAAGTGGCGATGAGGTCTTAAAATGAATGGAAAAGGTCTTAAAAAAGGTCTTAAAAGGCATTACATTCGACTTCAGGATTCCTGCATGTACCCTGTTCTGGGTAAATGTGTCCTTAAGGTTAAAGGTGGGGTAGGTAAGTTTGAGAAACCGGCTCGAGATACACTTTTTGTTATATTCCATGGAATGCTCTTAACATCCCGATAGCAATGAATATCTTAAGTGCTTTGACAAAAAATCCATAAAAAAAATCATCTGTGGAAGCCGTAGTACTGTAAAAAGCACGACCAATCATTTTAGCCTGCCCGGCTAAAATAACTGGATGGCCTACCTGCCTGTCAGCCTTCCATCTGTGCACAAACTTATCTCGTGCCCTCATTGGTCATGTGCGCGTTCGTGTGTGTTGGAGGAGGGGCTCTGTAAGGAAGTGGCAGATTTTCTCCGGTTGTGTATTTTCAAATTCTAGCGATCTCGAGCCGGTTTCTCAAACTTACATACCCTACCTTTAATTGAGGCCAAGTTTTTTTCAGCACATGGTAACACAGAATAATGATTATCATCTTCACCCTCTCTTCATCAAACCACACCCTGACACTAATTCTTGGCACGGCTTGTGTTTCCTGTTTTTAGACTTTTAGATGTTATCTCAGATGTCTGTTAACGGCTTCAGAGTGGAGACTTGTTGCTGCTGAGGGGACGGTTTGAGTGGGGGTGTTGTAGAAGAAGCTGCTTGGAAGTAGGCTACTGAAATGTCAGGAACTTAGTATCCATGAAGGTCTGCAGAGATGATAATCAAAAGGTCAACTCGAGATGCAGATGCTTTCCCTCTATGACCTAACACGATTCAACATCTGTAATCTCCCAATTTGAACCACAACCTTAAACTAACCCACTTAATTCTCGGCATTCAGTTTGATTACATATTCACGCTTATCCAGCCAATCTTCTTCATTTGAAAAGGATGATGTCTTTAAGCTGCGTGTCATTTGAGAATCAGTCATCTTTTTTTTTTGTGTGTGAGATTTTCTTCTGATAAAATTACATTTCCTATTAAAATATTTTTAGATATGAAACATCTTGTTTACCGTTCTTATTTTTAAATTCATCAGTGGTTATCATACATAAATCAAACAAACCGTGACTCAATAATAAAGAGGCTGCCCACACTTCTGTAGAAACCAGCACACATCTGGAGAGTCCATTTAACCGTGCATTGGTGTTCACTAGTTGATATTTCTGTATGTTTTGAGGTCAAAATACAACATCTTCACACGAAAATATGTTCAGTGAAATGCTTCTTGCTGAAAAATACAAGCAGGTGTAAATGTTCCTTTTGAAATGTTACAGAAAAGCAGAACGACTATCTGGGAGGTTGCAGCTAATGTCTGAAATGGTGGTTTTTCCTCCATGATTTAAACGTATTCATAATGCGAATATTCCCCAAAAGAAGATGTTTTGTGGTGGTGTATAGAATTTAAAGTCAGAGATGCACATTGCTTGGAAAGACATTGTGGTCATAAGTCTTTTTCATTAGACTTTTTAAAGGTTTTTCTTGACTAAAATGCCTCAAACAAATGAAGCCTTTCGATGAATAGAAGCTAAACCCTTAGTTTTGCGTCTGTGCAAATCTGAGTTGATGTGGAAGTGATTTGAATAACATAGTTTTAGTGAAAATGCATCTGTTTGGGATGTAGTGAGTTCACAACAAGATGAATTCGACTCGCATTGTACTGCATAAGTTGTGTGAGAGGTCATAGACCGATTTACTACAATTATGGCGCATTTCCACTGCAGCGCGTCGCACGGTTTAAGCGTGCCGTGCCAAACCCGGCCCGTTTTAAAATGCGTGTTTTCTAAATGGAGATCGGCTAAGCTAACGCAGTATATGCTCCGACCGTCCACACTCACAACAACGGCCTACAGACATAAATAAAGCAGCGACTGTATTCGCCATGACACAGGCAGTCTGTGGTTTGTACTTGTTTAACTTTTGTCTAGTTTCTGAACAGATATGAGGAGCTGTGAGCTCTGAGTGCTAATAGCTAACGGCTGATTTTTTTGTGTTTCGCATTGAAGATCACGTCACGGCTCCGCCTACACTGCGTTACTATAGTTACTGCCCCAGCTAGTGAACTGTAATGGAAACGCAGCATAAAGTGAGCCTGGCCTACCAAGGCCTAACTATACCGTACTAAGCCGTGTGAGACCCTGCAGTGGAAATGCGCCATTAGATTCCTCGTTCACCTTAAACACATGCGCTAAAAACAAAGGCTTCTTCAAGAATTGAAGGTAACATTGGGTAAGTTATTACAATTTAAAAGGGAGTTTTCTGGGTTTATTCCTTTGAAACCTGCTATTTGACACTGGAAAGAACATGTTATAAAGAAAAGGTGCCTTAATGGAGGGCCTCCTATTTAAAAAAAGGGGATTTCTACCTGTTGAGTATTATGACCCTCTAACGAGAAACACTCGCCAACACCAGAATATATGAAAGTCAATTTATCTGAACCCTAAACCCTCTTTGGTTTCTAACAGGTTAATTCGTCATCACAGCGTGAATCCCTCGTGGGGTTTTTAGTGACGTTAGGTCCTCTTCGGCCTCTGGACAGCAGAGTTGTGCGTCTGAGTGACACTCGGCTTGTTTTTATTCACGGTACAAAGCATTATAACATCAGTCCCAGTGTGACGCTGTGAGTCACCCCGTCATGAACACTCTCTTCACAACGCTGCTCAGTGTCCGGCAGTGAATTCAGACATTGTCTGCAGCACAGACCCAATACAAAGAGTGTGTGGGTGTATTGTAGGAACCAATGAATGATGGTGTGTTGAAGCCTCTACAGTATATGTGTTTGTATGAATGTCTAAAAAGTTATTTCCATTTTAAATGTAAGACACAAAGTGAAGCTTTCTCTGTAAAGTTCAACTTTATCTTAATAAGTACTTCAAGAATTATAAACATGTTTTTCTTCAAAACCCCTTTTTCATTCAACACAAAAAGCCAAAGATCTTACGCTTTACATGTGATTCGAACATCACAGCTGAAAAAAGGTACGTTCTCTGTATACAACCGCCTTAAACGGCTATTTAAATGTGGAATTATGGGCTTAAATGTGTAAATCTGACCAGATATTTGGTGGTTTTAATATCAGGCACAAAGAACTCATTTAGCTGAGGTCCAGATCACACTACAAAGACAGTATGGTTGTATTGTAGCAGGGAATACTAGTGTTGTGTTGCAGCCTCTATATGTGTTTGTTTGTATGAATGTCTGAACATTGTTTTTACATTTTAAATGAAATATCCCCGGTGTCAAAAAGCACTTTGAGAATTTCTACAAAACTCATTTTTGATTCAACAAAAGAAGTCAAAGATCTTACATTTGAGATGTTATTTGAACATACCTGCATACAATGTTCTTAAATTGCTATTCAAATGAGCAATAACGTGATAAATGTGTAAATCTGACCAGATATTTGATGTTTTTGATATCAGGCACGATGAACACATTGTGCTGGGGTCCAGATCCCCAGAATAAAGACTTGGTTGTATTGCAGTACCAAATAAAAGTGTATGTTTTCTTGTCTCATAGGTTATTTAAATTGTAAATCCGAAGTGATTCCTACTCTGAAAAGTACAACTGTATAGTCAAAAGTTCTTCTTCTTCTGTCTGCAGGTGATGTGTGTAGCGGTGCTGATGGAGACGCTCTGAGGGTGACACTGGGAAAGTCCTCACTCTTCCTCCTCCTTCCTCACTCTTCCTCACCCTTCCTCACCCTTCCTCACTCTTCCTCACCCTTCCTCCCCCTGAAAGCTGCACACATGTTTTCTCTTGGTCAGGAGAACATCCCCTCCTCCCCGGCCTCCACCAAAGGACCAGTGAAATATGGAGAGCTCATTGTTCTGGGGTAAGAAGCTTTCCCTGCTGCGGTTTAAAACGTCTGAATCATCGACGCCGAGCTGTTCAGGTTCTGCTGGTGTGAGCCCTCAACAATGTGCACTTTACTTTACTGCTGACCATTTCATTTAGTGGAGAACAGCTTCTGTTTTTACATCTGGCTCCTACTTCACAGTTCACAAAGTAAAGTGTCAGTATTCAAATCAGATTATACATAAGTGTTGTCCTTCCCTTGTTTTAAAGGCTGCGTTATAAAGTGTTGTCTTTATCCACTAAGGTCTCATTCACACCAGCCTCGTAGAGTCCGGTTGAATCGAACCCTGGTGCGTTTACCCGCTTGGTGCGGTTTGTTTGGGTCGGTGTGAACACAGTCTGAGACCTCTGAAGTGAACTAAACAACCGGACTCTGGTCCGCCTAAAAGAGGTGGTCTCGGACCGCTTGCTAGTGAACTCTGGAGCGGTTCATCTCTGTGTGAACGCAGTCCGCACCAAAACATAGGAAGCGTAGTATTTACGTGTCACAAGAACGCGGGTGTCTTCAAAATCTTTAGCGAAAGAGTGAAGCAGAATGAAGTGTTGAACAGTGTCGTGTAAAGTAAAAACAACTATCAAACTAAAAACTATACATAAAAGTCAGAGCTACCTGCCGTCGGTGAAACCCCCTCCTGACTGCAGAACGTCTCTCATTATATGTGTTATAATGTTTTGTATTGCACGTTGTCTGATTATATAATCATATGCGCCGTTGCTGTTGATATCCTCTCCAGATTAACAGCAGCATGAGAATAACCTGCTGATGCTCCATGGCGGAGGCTCCGGTAGAAATTGCCGGGATTTGCGTTTTTACCCCCGTTAATGTCTGACCAATTCTTGAACAGCATTTCCGAGCACATGACTTGTGTTTAAAGTTTATAGTCCGTTTGAGTTTTGCCCGTGTGAACGCAAACCGAACCTTCTGAAAATTGTAACAAACTGTGGTCTGGTGCGCACCAGAGAAGTGGACTATTAGGTGTGCATGCGACCTTAGTCATTATATCCACATTACTTTTAAAAAGATTGTGATATGTAGGGCTGTGCAATTAATCGTTTTTTTAATTGCAATTACGATTTTGGCCAGCCACAATTACAAAACAACATAATCGAAAAAAAACGATTATTTTGCTTTGCTAGGTTGTGACAGTGCACTGCAACATATTTGATCTAATTTATTTTATAGTCTAATTTATTTATCATATTTATATATGTTTAGTAGCTTGTTGAAGTGCGCTCCAAAATATTTGTTGATCTTTTTTATTGGTATTTATTATTTTGATATTATTTATTTAAATGTATCATTTATTTTATTTATTGGTTTTTCAGTTGAATTATACGTTCAGGGTAATCAACAGTTAAACAGATACTGTTCAAATTATTATTTTAATTTGTTTTAAAGTTCAATAAATTGACGTTTTCAAAGTCAATGAATAATCGTATTTAATAATCGTGATATCAATTATTGACCCAAATAATCGTGATTATGATTTTTGCCATAATCGCACAGCCCTAGTGATATGTGATATAATCCATATTGCTCAGCTCTATTTAAGATAGTTATACTGTATACGACAGTTAACACTTTGCCTGCTTTACTTGTGTATCAGGAAACTTTTCATCGACTGATTGAAACTCATCTTTGAGATGCTCTCAGGGACTTTATGAGACCCAACAATGGAATAGAATAGATAAGAGTAAATCTTTATCCTCCACCAGGATGGAGATTTGTATTTGTAATCATCCCGACTACAGATGGGAGTAATCTGCTGTACCTTAATGTGTGAGTAACCTTGTGAACATCCAGAGGGACTACGCTTTATTCCCGACAGTTTAACAGAGATTTACAAACACTACCATGTCATAGGGCTTACTACTTTTATACTTTCAAGGAAATTACAACACATTTTTTGGTAGTTTCTAGAAATGTTCTTCAAAAATGTTTATCATTCAACACAAGAAGACAAATATTTTACAATTCAAATGTTGTTTTAACATAAGCATTGTAGTGGCTTTTTAACTTTATCCATACTTAAGCCACTGAGGGATGGGAACGGGAGAACTAAGTTTGGACGCGAGAACTAAGTTTGGACGCGAGAACTAAGTTCGGACGCGAGAACTAAGTTCGGACGCGTGTCCCAGATGACAAAGCAATGTCCATACGAGTGTATATCTTTCAATCCATCCATCCTTTTATTTTGTTGTCCATATAGCCTTTCTGTTACCATTCAGATCCCAATATATGCACGTCAGTCACGCTGAATACAAACAGGTTTAACACACACAGCTCGTATTGACACGGCTTCGGCCGACACGCTCGAAAACTGTTTGCTTCCGCCCCAAAACACCTGATCACCCAGTGATTACATGTATACACACACAAGTGAATACTCCATCTTGTGTAGAAAGTGCATCATTAATTAAACGTCCAGATAAAATACAAACAAAGACACATGCATTATGGCATACATAAGCAGCCAGACAACAATGTGTATGGCTGCTTATATACTGTATGAGCTTCTATACAATTGTCTTAAACGGTTTTGTTAATGAGTAGTTATATGATTTAAGTCTCCAATTTGACCACATTTTTTATGACAGCTTATATGTTTGTGATACTAGACACTATGAACACATGGGGTCCGGTCCTGAACATGTATTAAGGTGTGATACCCTGCCCTGCTGTGTGAAGTCTAAGCACTCGAAGCCTTTAAACGAAACGTATGTGTCTGTATTTCATCTTAACCCTGTAGGAGAATGCTCACACTTTGCATTGTTTTACAAGCGCAGATAAGAATGTGTACACTGTGACGTATGTCTGGATAACTGAGATGAAATAGATGATTTCATTTGATCTCAGCGGGACTTTAGTACAGTATGAAATAGTTCAGAAGCCGTGCCTGGTCCAGCTTAACGTGTAGAAGCTCCACCGCAGAGAAGAATGCAGCTCACTTCCTGCCTGAAGGCCTTTCACTGCGGACTCAGAGAGACGTCAGGAGAGTTGTGGCTGCTGTGGTTTCAGACCTTTTGTTTGCTTTTCGTATCACATGTGGAACCCAACAGTCTGGGAGACCATGTAACTGACAATTACACCGCTCACAGGGTGTCATTTTAAAGAGACGTATAGTTTGTGAGAACAGAGGCAGTGGAGCCACAGTGGGGTCTGAGTTTGTCTTAAGAAAAGGAGGTGGGTGCACGTTATCTGAAACACAGGAAGTTGGCATTATCCCGTGGAAGAATGGCTCCACTCAAATGACCTCAGGCTGGCTCTGCAGATAACCTCTCCCCCACTAGGCTTCCTGTCTCCAGTGAAAGCTGCGAAATGATGTTTGGGAAATCTGCCTGTTTGACCTGCATTAGGTAGAAAGAGCCAGGACATGTTTAGCTTAGCAAAAAGACATGAAGAAGGGGTTAGAAGAGCTTTGACACACATACAAACTTCCAATATATTAAAAACAGATACAAAAAATGGATTCTACTTTTCTAAAACGTGTAGCTTTTTTATTTGAAATAAGTATAAATTGGTTAAAGAATAGACTGTATATCTAATGGAAAAAAGACAACAGATGATACCTCACCTCAGGTTGGTTAAATGAACAATCAGGTGGATGTTTTAGGACGTGGAACCCAACGTCTTGTTGTTCTTGGCTTGAGGGTTTTATAGCCAAGATGTGATAGTTACTCTGTGATTTGCTAAACAATGACTTTATCCCACCTCTGGTTTGCTGTCAGCATAACTCTATATATATCCAGTTTAATGTAGAGAAACCCCCCCCCCCAGAGGGAAGAAGGCTGCAGACTTCCTGACTGAAGGCCTTTCTCTGCTGACTCAGAGAGCGCCTGTGGTTTCAGACCTTTTGTTAGCTTCTGTGTTATTGTATGAAGAACTGAAACCCTGCACTGTCTCGCTGGTTCACTGAAGTGTGTTATAAACCACCATTGAGCTTCTTTTAGATATGTGCTTTTACACGTTTAACTTGTTAGTGTTTTTAGATACTCTGTGCAGATCCTGTGTGATTATACTAAGACGTTTCCCATGTTGTGTTCAGGTGTAATGGCTCTCTGCCAAACGGAGACAAGGGGAGGAGGAAAAGCCGCTTCGCTCTGTGTCGCAGGAACAAGGCCAACGGCGTGAAACCGAGCACCGTGCACTCCTCGTGCACGCCTCAGGCTGCCAAGGTGAGCACTTTGAACTCAGGTAGAGAACATCACGCACTATGACAGGGAGCGCAGAGGACATCAAAGTTCATCAAAGAAGACGGAGAGGGAATTCACGCTCTTGGATATGACTGATTGAATGTGTTTGTGTGGAGTACCTGCAATCTACTAATAAGACACTTTCTTTTATTTACATTTGGATCACAATGTTGTAGTTTCCTGACAAATGATGTTGATGGGTACTGTCAGATGGACCAAAGACATTTCTAATTATTCAGTTTGTATCTCTCCTATAGTAGCAGTCATTAAGCATTAACTGCAATATAGCAGATGGTTTAAACGCTGATGTGTTCATGTTTTCTATCTGTTCTGTTTCTGTTATATTATCAGGATAAACAAGATTTTTTTTCGCACTTTTGTAGCTGTGTTAAAGACTTACTGCATCATTAATGAAATATACTATCATTGAACAATAACAGGTGTGTTTGTCATATCTTAAATACATTTTTAAAAGTGCCTCTCTTGTGTTTGTGGCAGGCTGTGAGCGACAAGGAGCAGCACAGTATTTCCTACACTCTGTCCCGGGCACAGACGGTGGTGGTGGAGTACACGCAGGACGGCAGCACGGACATGTTCCAGGTGTGTAGCATCGAGCTGACTCGACCTGATGCTCCTGCAGATACACAGACCACAGACTAAATGTAACCTTTCATGATCTATCTTTGTGTTTCTGGAAAGCTAAAAAAAAGGATTACCCAACTACCTACAAGTCAAACTGTATGCCTTTTTCTATTCGTGAGAAAAAAAAGCTACATTTTATTTTTCTTATGCAGGTTTCTTTTCTATCACCATGCGTTTGTAATGTTGCACCATTTTTGGCTCTTGGCAGAATTTCCTTCACCCATGAAAGACCAAATGAAACTCGGAAACAAAAAGTGAGAAACCACATTTGAGGAATTGGAAACTGAAATGGGAATCAACACGGCTTCGAAGAAATTGTTGTGATAAAAATTCCAGAAATTAATGTTAAGAAAAAGCCACGTTTACATTTGTCGTTGCTCAATAACTGACATCCTTAAAAACTTTGGTCAAATGTTTTATCCGAGGAACTGCAGATGAATTCTATACCCAATATATCTTATGACACAATATGTGAAGAATGAAAAACATTTTAAGTTATCTTTGACGACATCTTGGAGGGACTATACTTTCTTTTGGGGGGAGTACACTTTATCTACCGTTAACATGAGACAGTTGGGAAGTAGAGGCGAATTCATCAACTCACTGTCACAATATACAATATACATGACACTCAGTGGCGTTTTTATATGTACAAAAGTGGTGGGGCACAAAAAACTTAGATGTCTATATATAAGCTTCTGCAGTGACGTGCAGTGAGGTTCATGGCTGCTGAGGCACTGGCACTGACTCTTCAGGTTTACAAATATTATATTTTGACCTAAACCAAAATATAATATTATTTTCAAAAGCTTTTTTTGTCTGATGCTTCGATTAATTTTTAACAGACAGTTCAACAAAAGGATACCCAAAAAATGTCATTTTATCATTTAAATATTGAATTGTTCTCTCTTAGTAAGATCCCATTTTCAATCAAATTGCGGTCTTACCTTGACTTGAAGATGAAGTCCATTTGCCTATCCTTCTGGACAAACATTTCTATAACTTTTTTGTAAAAGTCCTCCTTATGTTCTTGTAGTTTCAAAAGTTTATCATAAATGTAATCCATAGATTTATGATAAAAAAATTATAGGGTAGACATGTGGATGTTATCCGGCTAATCAAAACGTGCATTTATCTAACAGGTACGTTTCCCACAGATCTTATTTCGAGCTATTTTCTAAAATCCTCTGGAGAAATCTCATTGCTTTTTTGTGCTTACTTCCTGGTTTTAGGACGCGTCACTGCAGCTCTCTCGTCTCCTCTTCACACAGCACACTTTTCGCGGCACACGTACTTACAGCCAATCAGCTCTGAATGATTTGAGATGACGTATGGTGGGGATGGTAGCTCCGTGCCCCTCTGGTCATTATTTTTTTGCCACACACATTTCATTACAAAATACTCTGAGCATGCGCAGTGAAGTTTTTACAGTCACCGTTGACTTCACAGCGAGAGGAAGGGGCATAATCAGGTTTTGTCCCACATGGCTCTAAACAGCTCAATAGGCACACACTGTGACTGTAGACACACTAATTAGAAGAACACAGACTAAAACAGCAATGTACAGACGAATCAGATGATTAAACATGATCTTAAAATATATTTTATATATTTTTTTATTTATTTTTTTGCATTTTTGTAATCATTATTTGTAATACTTTCTGCTGACACTAGGTGGGGCTGTGCCCCACCTGCCCCTAATGACCAGTCGCCACTGATGACACTATACAGAAGTATCTGCAGGATTTTCATGTGCACACATTTCTAGGTACCATCAATGATTTTATGTAAGGCGTCTTTGAGCATCAGGAAAAGCACGATATAAATCCCATGTATTGTTATTATTATTATTATAAACCCTGTCTGTGCTTCTTCACAGATTGGCCGCTCCACAGAGATTCCCATTGACTACGTGGTGACGGACACGCTGCCCGGGGGTCAGATCCAGGTGGACGGTCAGACGGTTCAGAGCACCATCTCCCGCTTCGCCTGCCGCATCATCTGCCAGAGAGACCCTCCGTTCACCGCACGCATCTATGCCGCCGGCTTCGACTCCTCCAAGAACATCTTCCTCGGGGTAGGCTGCAGAAACTGGTGCTGCTAGAGGGGGATAACGCTCTGTGTCGATATGACCGAAGTTGTTACACTACATTTAATTTAACAGACATTTTTATAGGAACAAGATCACTACTTCTTGTTGACACATTTTGTACCGTTACACAGTACTTTGACCCCTAACCCATCACAGTCCCCCTACTCCTACTGCTATTTATTTCATTTTCACTTTATTATTTGCCCCTTTTGTTTCTTTGTTTCTTTGTTTGTTCAGCATGTAAAGCGGCCTTGGGTCCCTTGAAAGGCGTTAGTTGTTACAGCAAAAGTACACAGAAGAAAATGTACTATTGAATAAGAGGCACACATAAAATTATGAATATAGAAATGACACAAATTACAATTAAAGAAAAGTACACATCCAGGTGGACAACAACAAATACCAGTAACAGTATATTTTTTTTAAATAAGTGTAGCATGTAGAAAGTAAGGCAAGGCAAGTTTATTTATATAGCACCTTTCAACACAAGGCAATTCAAGGTGCTTTACAAAAAAGGCATTTAAAAACAGTCATTAAAAAGCAAAGATAATTAAAGAAACATTAAAAGAAAAAATACATGAATAACAAGTTACAGTGCAGTTTCAGATATGAATAGTTCACACAGAAGTTCCATTTGACTGATGCCTTTCTTTAAGGTTTCTCCGAACATGAGCTGTGTACGCTTGTATGGCACATATGTCCCGAGCAGCATACTGTACACCCAGAAAACCAGCCAGGACAAAGTCCCCAGACACTGATTCCCTGGGGTTACTAGCCCCAAATGTTCATTAACCAAAAACGAAACACAACCGCTCGGTTTCAATTAAAAGCAGAAGATGCTATTGATCATGTTATGTGTTCTGTGTAATAACAGGTCATATTTTTTTTACTTTTTTCTCAGGAGAAAGCAGCTAAATGGAGGATGCAGGACGGTCACATGGACGGACTGACCACCAACGGGGTTCTGGTGATGCACCCCCGACAGGGCTTCACCCAGGGCTCCAAACCCGGCCTGTGGAGGGAGATCTCCGTCTGCGGAAACGTGTTCACGCTGAGGGAGACCAGGTCCTCTCAGCAGAGGGGCAAGATGGTGGGTCAGCCTTACTCTGCATGGGAGCTGTAGATAGTTCTTTGATGTAAACACATCAGTCAATGTTTTAAGGTAAACATTCAGTGTTTCTAACAAACATTGAGTTATTCATCCTGGCCCTTTGTCAGTGCATCGATATCTGTCTTTGCACATTACTGCCACCATCTGTGGATCATTAGACATGCACCAGAGCAAAGTTGAGTTTTTTTATCCTATCGTATAGTATCGTGTCTTGTCTTATGGTATCTTATCATGTTGTAACGTAGCGTATCGTAACGTAGCGTATCTAATCTTGTGTCATATTGCATCGTGTCGTTGCATTTGTTGCATCAGATTATAGTATATCTTGTCGTGTTGTATCGTATCTTGTTTTATCGTATTGTATCGTAGCATATCTCATCTTGTTGTGTCTTGTCACATCGAGTTGTTTATTGAGTCATATCGCTTCGTATTGTAGCATAACTTGTCTTGTCATGTCCTATCGTTGTATCGTGTCATATCTCCTCTTATTCCTTCCTTATCTTATAAAAGACATTTCAACAGGATTCATCATCACATTGTCATACTGTATATCTGCTCCTCTCTCTCCAGATGGAGCCTGAGTGTAACGAGCTGGTGGACGGCTCCCTGGTGGACCTGTGTGGAGCGACCCTGCTGTGGCGCACTGCAGAGGGGCTCGCCGACACCCCCACCGTCAAACACCTGGAGGCCCTGAGGCAGGAGCTGAACGCGGGGCGGCCGCAGTGCCCCGTGGGCCTCAACACGCTCGCCTTCCCCAGCATGCGGCGCAAAGACGTCCTGGACGAGAAGCAGCCGTGGGCCTACCTGCGCTGCGGACACGTGCACGGATACCACGGCTGGGGGGGGCCGCCGCAACCCCGAGGTGGAGGCGGAGTGCCAGGAGAGAGAGTGCCCCATGTGCCGGACGAGGGGCCCCTACAAGCCCCTGTGGCTGGGCTGCGAGGCGGCTTTCTACCTGGACGCAGAGCCGCCCACACACACATTCATCCCCTGTGGACACGTGTGCTCGGCGAAGACGGCGGCGTACTGGAGTCAGATCCCGCTGCCGCACGGCACACACACCTTCCACTCTGCGTGCCCCTTCTGTATCGAGGCGCTCAGCGGGGAGGCCGGCTGCATCAGACTCATCTTCCAGAGCCCGCTGGACTAGAGACCCCTCAGACTGCTTAGCTAAACAACAGAAGGGTGGAAGAAAAGAGCAAGGAAAGTTGAGTGTCCTCGACCACCAATGAGAAATGGACTGTGCTTATATAGCGCTTTATCCAGTCTTTACGACCCCTCAAAGCGCTTTACATGTTCATGTACATTCACCCATTCACACCCATTCATACAGAGCAGTGTACCTTACTCTAGGAACTAACATTCGTACACATTCACACACTCAGGGTTCAGTATCTTGCCCAAGGATACATCAACATGTTGACTGCTCTGGCTGGGATCGAACCCACAACCTTCTGGTGGAAAGACGCCCGCACTCCCTCACAGCCACAGTCGCCCATAAATACAGTTATAGTAGTTTGACTGTTGTGTAAACGAGCAATGAAAGAATATCCGTCTCTTCACACTTTAAGAGAATTATTGTTTAACATGTAAACTAAATAATAACCATTGCCTTCAAGAGGATGTTTAAGAGGCAGAAAACCGCCACAAGCTTTCTTTCATTCCAGTAAAACAAAGGACTAGAGAACCCTCAGACTGCTTGTCTAAACAACAGAAAAACGAGTTCTTTCTATAACTTAATTTTGTATAACTTAATTTAACTTAATTTTTGAGCAACAGAAATACACTTATTGGGTATATGATTCAGGCTTTCTTTGTTGTCCTCTGAAGTGGTGAATGTTCCTCACTAGTTTAAACTGTGAATTGCAGTGAATGGATTCCCTGTAATTGTCACACTTTGCAAAAATCATCCTTCATCAACCCTGCCTTACCTAAACAACAGAAGGCATAACCATGAGTCTCTTTGATCACTTAATTGAACTTAATTTTGAGCAATATAAATACATATATTGGGTTTTTGATTCAGGCTTTGTTGTCCTGTTCAAATGGTGAATGTTCTTCCCTGGACACAACTGTAATGATTGCCTCACACTCTTCAATGTAATGTCCTCGCCTTAAAGTACATCAAAGTTGAGGAAATTGCAGTTAATGTATTCCCTGTAATTGTCGCACTTTGCAAAATCATCCTGCCTTGTCTGAAAAACATAACCCCGAGTCCTTTTGATAACTTAATTTAACTTTTGAGCAATATAAATAGATGTATTGGTTTGATTCCTGCCTTCTTTGGAAGGTGTATAATGATGCAGGCTTTGTTGTCCTCCTCTTAAGTGGTGAATGTTCTTCCCTGGATGAACTGTGATGATTTGCCTCACTCTTTATTTATTCCTTGACCTCTTCAGTAATGTGTTTTGTAAATCAATGCAATATCTAACAGCCTTAAAGAGAATTGAACACTAAGACACGATCACAGTTTGGTTTTATTGTCTTTGGTCTATTTGTTTTCTTAAGGCTTTTCTATGGGAAAAAGGGAAATGTAAACATGTTGGGGAATAAACTAATATTTCTGTATTTAATTATTTTGTGGGAAATCGAATGAGCTTCCTCTGCAATGTGGTTTTCTAATTGAGCACAGACATGCTGTGTGTAATGATCCAGCTTTGTATCATAACACAAATATATTTCTTGGGGAAACGTTTTAATCTGCTGTCTTGTGACTTGAAACGCAAAGATTCAGACCGAGTTTTTAAACCAATACAGACAAGAAATAAAAACATAAATGGCGCCATCATGAGGCCAACCTCCCACTTAGAAATAAGACATATTTAGTGGAGTAAATTCACAAGCTACCCTGCAGTATACAAAGTCATTCAAACTAGCTGCACCTTTACCAGCTTTGAGAACACTTTCATGATCAATCATTATAAAACATATCATATATATTATTCTGAAATGGACCAATCTGCACAATGACTATTTTTACTGTCGCTACTTTAACTATATTTTGATGATAATACTTTTCTACTTTTACTTGAGGAACATTTTGAATGCAGGACTTTTACTGTAACCGAGTATTCCTACACTCTGGTACTTCTACTTTTACTCAAGTACAAGATCTGAGTACTTCTACTTTTACTCAAGTACTAGATCTGAGTACTTCCACTTTTACTCAAGTACAAGATCTAAGTACTTAGGCCGTGTTGAAGGACATCTAATTTCTCTAAATGCACTTCGAGGATCGAGGATCGAGCATCGAGGAGGCTCTCTGGAGGAGCTATAACCGAGGATACACTGATGGGTCCTCCGCGGATGTATTTCCGGCAACAGTGATGTTTAAAGAGTCGTGCCGAACTTATCTCAGCCAATGACAGCTCTGCATGCATCCCCTGGATATTATTTTATTAACTGCTTTAATCGCAACGCGATGTTTACAGTGAGAACAGCTGTGAGGTCTGTGCAGAAAGCAGAGCAGTGTGTATAATATATATCACTCAGTATAACAGGCCTACATTACTCTCTTTATTTGTATGATTTAGTTAGATATCTACAAACAAAGAGTCGATATATTTTTAAAACCATTTAGTGCTTCACATAATAAAATACACAATGGCTGTATCCTGATATATATTATATGCTTTAGGAGCTGTAGGTGTGTGTGTGTGGTTGGTACAGTGTGTAGGTGCGTGTGGTAGGCTATTGTGTGTGTGTGTGTGTGCGCGTAGATGCGGCGGACAGACAGGTTTGGTGTCCTATGCTTACTTTTAATACTTGTAATAAAACTTTAAAAAAATTAAAATGAATTAAAAGTAAATAAGTCATGAACACATCTGTCCATCAGACAGAGGGCTGCTGTGCCTCCTGTCATCATTAATGGACCTCTCTTTAAAATGACCGCTCAGAGGAAAGGATTTCCCACCCGGGTATGTGAAACAACACAAACTACCATTGATCTCATTCTGACCTCTGACAGGTCCAGGATCTCCAGTAAAGGGGTTATCCCCTCCAAATTCCTCAGAGACACAGCAACCGCCATCTCACCAGTCATAGCTCACATAATTAACCTCTCCATAAAACAGGGAAAAGTTCCCAAAGACTTCAAAATTGCAAGAGTAACCCCCCTGCACAAAAAGGGCAGCAAATTGGACCCAGGCAACTACCGCCCTGTTTCTATACTTACCTCCATCTCGAAAGTCATGGAAAAAATAGTATATGAACAGGTCGAAAAGTACCTCGCGGAAAAGAAACTAATCTATGAATTTCAATCTGGCTTTAGAACATCCCACTCCACTGACACATGCCTTCTTTATTTGAACGACCACATCAAACAAGAGGTGGACGAGGGTAAATACTGCGGCATGGTGATGCTGGACCTACAAAAGGCTTTCGACACTGTCAATCACCCCATTCTGATTGACAAGCTAAAAGCAATTGGTTTTGATAAACTATCGGTGAGCTGGATGCAATCCTACCTGGAGGGGAGAGAACAGATGGTGGAGGTAAACGGTACTCTGTCCCCCCCCCTCCCAGTGAGCTGTGGTGTTCCACAAGGAAGCATATTAGGTCCGTTACTGTTCCTAATTTATGCAAATGACATGTCATCAGCATGTGACTGCAACTTGTTCCTGTTCGCTGACGACTCAGCCCTGCTGGTCTCTGACAGGAGCAGATTCCAGGTTGAAAAAACCCTCAGCTCCGAGCTCGGCAGAATCTGCACCTGGCTCGCCGATAATAAATTATCATTACACCTGGGTAAAACAGAGTCCATTCTCTTCGGTTCGAAACATAATCTCAGCAAATCCGACGACTTCTCAGTTGCAGTGGGTGACATTATTGTCACTAGTAAGAAGGAAATTAAATACCTATGATCTATTCTTGAGGCAAACCTCTCCTGTGACAAAATGGCATCGTAATAAAAAAAGTCAATCAAAGAACTAGATTCCTATACCGGATCTCCTCTCTGGTAAACAAAAACACCCTGAAAACTTTGGCAGGAGCACTCATTCAAGGGTACTATGACTATGCTTGCACGTCATGGTACCATAGCACCTCCAAGGCGCTAAAAATAAAACTTCAAACATCGCAAAATAAACTGGTCAGACTACTGCTTGACCTTTCATCTAGAACCCACCTCACCTCTGCCCACTTTGACAACCTAGGATGGCTTAGAGTAGACGACAGAGTACAGCTACTTGCAATGGGCCTGGTCTACAAGATCCACTACACCTCTATAGGTGTAAAAATACGCCGGTAAAATGTGCCTGTAGAAAACGGCTTAGCAAGTAGTCAGTTTAGCTTCGGTTGCTATGCTAACATCACCCATGTTATACCAGAGAAACTTTCATAACAGCGTTGTGATGCCAAACAGCGTCAATTCAGACTGACACACATTCACTTAAGGGGAACTGGGGATATGTATCAGCTGCTTGTGTGACAGTCAGACAGTGAATACTTTAGAGCCGTGTGAGCTAACCCGGAGCTAACGGGAGAATAAACTCCCGTGGAAGTGCAGCCAGCACTGCAGCGGTCGGTAAATGCCGCTGAAACACATTAATAAACAATGAACCACGGCACTCTGGAGAAAAGTATAAGGTTGGAGAAGTCGTTATTTAATTTAATCTGGCTTCGTATGATTAAAAGCAACACGACCCGACGCAGTCCCCGGCCCGTTGTTGTTGTGGGAGAAAATCAGCGACGTAAACTGTGACGTCATGACGCAGCAGCGGCAGCTCTGGGCAGTGTGAACAGAGCGGGAGCTGAAAAGGGAAACGGGAGCTGAACCAGAAAAGCTCTCGCGAGGAGCTAGAAAGTGAAAAGCGCCGGTGTGAAAGCCGCATATGGTACCCATGTACATGTCAAAATTCTTCCCAAAGGTCAAGGAATACCATGATCATAACACCAGAGGGAGCTCCACAAATCATGTAAAACCCAGATTTGGCACAAAAAAGGGGGAATACACGTTTCGCAATTATGCCACATCAAGGTGGAACGCTCTTCCCACAACTGTAAAGGAAAGTACCTTCAAAACATCTCTTAAAGAGCACCTTAGGGGGAGAGCATTGCAAAACTGGCCCCGGTAATGGTACAAATCTCAACCTGTCGTACAATGGACAGCTTTCCCCCCCCATCTATGTATATACTCGCATTTTAGACTTTGTTACTAACTGTATATCTGTAGACTTGGTATGTCTTAAATGTCCGGTTAGGATGTATTAGAACGAAATCTAAAATGAAAATTGTAAATAAGCCATCTGTATGTAAAATACCACCTGTATGTAAATTGTAAATAAGCCATCTGTATGTCAAATATGTCTTATATGTCTTAAATGATATGATGAATTGGAAATGGGGGACCCTGATGTAAACAAGACGAAAGTCTTTCTCTGGTCTGCATCCCCTTAACAATTGTATGTTTTGAGCTGTGCTGTACTGTACCCAATATACAAGCTGTTAATAAACTTTTCATTCAATCAATCAATCAAATTTCTAATTTCTCTAACCGCCTGCTGCTTCCCCTCCTCTTTCCTCGGTTCCCCTCCTCGATTCCTCCGCTCGCATCTCCTGTGGGCGGAACTAAGACACGAGGATATGAGTCGAGGAGGGGAATTAGAGAAATGAGAAAGTCCCCGGTCAGCAGCTAGTTTTATGAAGAGAGAAGAAGAAGCGGCCCCTCCTCCTGCGGTGCATGATGGTCTCTGCTGCTGCTGTGTATGTTTTCCTCCCGGTGCCTCCGGTGTTTCTGTGATGGTGAAGAGGACAAACACCGGCTGCTGTGCTTTTAACGACAGGTACGGACGAAACCCCGCAGTGTGTGACCTCTCCCGGTTTTGTCTCTCATATCCCTCCGCCTGTCAGAGCGTTAGCCGTTAGCTGCTAGTATTAGTCTACGTGTAACCCCACAACATTAGCTTTAGCATTAGCTTCTGGCACAGGCCTCGGATATTCACAGCCTCCTCAGCCCTGTCATCGATTGTTTAATGCGGGGTTGTGTGTCTTTGGTTACCGTTAAGTGTTGACCTCACTATCAGATCACTGGATTTATCGCTAACGGCAACAGCAGTCAATGCATGGAAGCTAAGCTAAAGCTAACAGGCTAGCTTCTGTCACTGCTGCCTGTTCTGCTGAAGACACCAGTGGTGGAATGTAAGTACATTTACTAAAAATGTTCTACTTATATTTTGGAAAATTGGAGGTGTTTGTGCTGTACTTAAGTATTTACTTTTATCATATCATGTACTTAAGGAAAAGTATAAGTACCAGAGTGTAGTAATAATACACAAGTAAATGTCCTGCATTCAAAATGTTACTCAAGTAAAAGTATTACCATTCAAAATATACTTATAGTACCAAAAGTAAAAGTAGTCATTGTGCAAATGTAGTTAGTAAGTACAACACTGCCTTTTATGTAACTACACTTCTACTCCACTAACGTCACATCTCAGAGCTAAATATTGTAATTTTACTCCACTTCTTTATTTCTGAAAACGTTTGGCTTATTATTTGCTGCTGCGATTTTCCCTCTTCTATCATAATCTGGCCTTTTATGAGCACCCAAAATGATATGGACAGGCAACACAACATTGCTGGAGTACCTATTTAAACCCCTTAGTTATTATATTAATACGTTATTAAGGGTTTGAGGTAGTGTTAAAGAGCTTTATTACAAAACTGAAATATATGACTGTTAATTGATTATTTGGCTTTTCTACAGAAACACAGACCAGTTGAATTGTAAACACATTATAAGATTGTCGACGGAGAGAGTCAAAGTTGACTTTCTTATAATGACATACATTTTTTATTTACATTTACTGTCCCAGAGAGGTATTTACTTCCACCGCCAGAACACAGAAGTGTTCAAATATTGATCAAGCACACGAACATGCAGATATCAGCATGTATGTAAACACATGGCGACATACAGATGGACGGTACACAACATCTTGTGTAATGTTGAGTGTTGGCTGTTTGAACAACATGTACATCATTACTGAGAAACAACCTAAATATTTTCTTTCTCTGTCTTTCTGTCAGAAAGAACATATGTTTTAATTACATTTAAGAGGTTTTTTTACAGCAGCAAATAATGTGTTGAATCTGTGACAGTCCTGGTTTTATTTTATTATGCAACCCTCTTAAGCATCACGTCTGCTTTCACAAAATTAATTGCCCAATCATTTCTATTTTTACCTCACAGACGTCTTGTTAGGTGGTGAAAAGCGTCTGAATATTTACACTTCAAATTGTTTATTCTGTCGTCTCAGGATGTGACGACGAGACAGAATGAGATAAAACAGTGGTGGTGGGAACAGAGAGGCTGCAGACCCTTCCTCTAAATCTGTCATCAGGGTGATGGGATTAAAAGAAGTGTATTTTACTCCTCCACAGTCTGAGCAGTCAGATTAAAGCAGAAACAAATCCTCTGCTGCTACTCAGTCTTTATTATCAAATCAAATGTAACTCATCTCTTCACCGCTGTCTATCCATAAGCCCCCCTGCCCCTCCCATCAATCCATTTCCTGTTGACTGTCTTTGTTTGTCCACCCTCCCTTATACTGTAAAGCGTCTTTGAGTTCAAGAAAGCGCTGTATAAATATAATTTATTATTATTATTCTCTGTCATCAATGTTTTTTGGAGAGGACACAGCAGATGGATGTAGCAGGACGGTCTCTAACAGAGCTCAGTGTTGAGTTTAAGGGGCTGTTGGTAATTCATCTAAGTGTTATTTGCTTTGTGAATTTCAGTCAATAAGATTCTCAGAAAATACCATGGATTTAAAAAAAAAAACTAAATTCCTTAATCTGAATGTGACATCTTTTTAAATACTGTACCAACAGTTTAATGAAACCCCTAAAACAATGTATTGACCCCTTTCAAAAATATCTCCAAAGACTATTTACTGTATATTGTTTACTTACTTTAGATAGGATTATTAAGTGTCACAGTCATTAAGTGTAATACATTTAATAAATAATTAAGTGCTCAAATCTATTTATTTTGTTTTACTATCCATAAAAACAGCTCGGCACAGTTTTCAGAAGTGTGTACTCGTTGAATTGTCGTGTACAGGTGGTGTAACTGACAGTTATTATTGAGTCACTCTGTGTCACCACCCTGAACCTGCAGCACTGAGCGATAACAACACACTTTCAGTCCTGCTTTGAGCTTCTGCAGCTGCATGAAAACACACTTGCACTGAACAGGTGTGACTTCCTGCACTTTAGAGGACTTTAAGTGAGAAAACAGAAAGCTTTGACAAACGGTGACTCAGTCTGGTGCTCGGATGATTTACTGTGTTGTAGTTAGTTTTTAATATTGAACAGTTTTTTATTAAGATGTAGATTAAGAGATGTAAACATATATATTGCAACGCAGCTTTACAGATCTGACTATAACCTATATTTTCATTATTGTCATCAAATTCAATGAAGATATCGAGACTACATGTTTGTTCATTTCTCATTAATGTCTGACTTCTTGTCTGTGGTTCTCCGCTCCAAGCCAATTGGTTACTACTAAATATGTTAATCTCTAAAAACACAAATATATAGTGTGTCTTTCTTTAAAGGAGGCTATGTCAATTCTGCTTCAACGAACAGGAGGAATAACTGCATTTTGTTTGGGACTATTTTCATCGCTGCATTAAACCACATTTGGTGCTCTAGTGAGTATGTGTGGCAGCAGGAAAGTGTGTGTGTGGGATTTAGTCAAAAATAAATGAGTGTGTGTCCATGGTGATGAAGGAACATGTCACCAGTGCAAAAGTGAGGCTCACTGAAGAGTTTTTTAATAGTTTTCACTGAACAATCGAGCTCAACGGCACAGCAGAAGAAGATGTATCATGCTCCGATACATTCATTTTTCTCTTTTTGGGGGGATCTGTTGCAACATATCATTAGCTGTATCCTTTATATAGATGTCCTGTGTCTAACCAGTTCTTCATGTGTCCCTCTCCCTCTCTCTCAGCTAGCCTCCTGGGAGGCTCCTCCCGATGCCATGGCCTCCAGCCACGGCTCCTCCCCCGTGCCTCGTCCAGGCCGAGATGGGATGTATCTCAAGGAGCGGGACGCCCCCCCCTCTCGCTGCCGGAGCCTCCGCTCGCTGCCCGACGTCTGCCCCAAGGAGCCCACAGGTGGGAACATTTAAGGCTCCTTTTAAGGCTTTTATTAACTGATTTATCTGTCAATTCAAGATTCAAGGCTTTATTGACATGTGCACATTAGCTACAGTGGAGATGTGGCAATGAAAAGTCCCAGGCTCCTCCAACAGAGCAACATGAATATATATATAGTCTGACATTTGACTTGCATCACAGCAGCTCCATGTGTAACATCAACAGACAAATATCAAGACACAATACATGAAAAAACAAACAACAAACATTTAACATAACATCCAAATCAGTGAGAGAAAACCTGCTCAAAGAGCCTTCAGCGTGCATCTGATCTGGATTCAGCTCAGTGTCTACTGAGAGGATTGACTGGAGCACAGAGGATGCTTCAGTCTGACTTTATTAAAACGAGGGACCCTGTTTCTCTGATCAGAATCATAATCAAAGGGTTTATTACCAGGTAGGTTCACACGTACGAGGAATTTGACTAGGTGTTATACATACAAATTAAAAACAAAAATTAAAAAAAGAACACTGATAGCAAACTATATTAAGAACACTGTAATATAAATGGTAGCAGTTCATATTCTCTGTTCTCTGTTAGTAAAATGTCACTTAAAAACATGTCAACTGTCAAAATATGACCGAGAATATAAAACATGAGTGTGGTATTTAAGTACACATTTGAGGTACTTGTTATGAGTATAGATGCACAAAGGATGCTTCAGTCTGACTGTGATTCCTCTCCTGTGCAGGTGAGGGGCGGGGCCTGTGTGACGGCCCCTCGGTGGTGGTGGACCTCGACAGGTGGACCGTGTTCAGCTCGAAGGTGAACCTCCCGGCGGCGCTGAACGACCCGCGGCTCGCCAAGAGGGAGTCAGACTTCTTCACCAAGACGTGGGGGCTGGACTTCGCCGAGACCGAGGTGATGCCCTCCTTCTACCTGCCCAACATCACCAAGGAACACTTTGCCCCCTACCTGCAGGAGATGGCCCAGGTAACACACACACACACACACACACTCACACACGCTTTGAAGAGCCATAAAACAAATACCGACTAAATGGTCTTTGAGTTGTTGTATTATGTTTAATTTTATCCAAGGTATAGACGTTCTTTTCTAACAAAGTATTCTGCTTCTATTCGTATTTGTTGGTATTAAGCATTTTAAAAGCAGTATTTTCCCTACACTCAAAAAACTGTTTGCTGTCTCGCTTGTTGTAAACAAAAGGAGCACGTATTACCAAGCAGTAATGTAAAAGCACTGTAAACGACATCTATCTAGCCACAAAAGCAATAAAGTCTTCTTCATCCCGTTTGTATTAGGTGACTAATGGCGCATTTCCACTACAGCGCGGTTTAAGCGTGCCGTGCCGTGCCGTGCCCGGCCCGTTTTTGGTTCCGTTTCCACTAGGCGTAGTTCCGGCTAGCGGGTACTTTTTCACAGTTTTCTGGCTCTCCAAAATCAAGGTTCTTTCCGGGCCAACAACCGGGCTGAGTATGCTAAACTAGAGAGAGAATCGCTGGCAACTACAACAAAATGAACATATTTGACCGTGATTTAATTGTAATACACGTTTCAAAATGATGCCGAAGTAACAACATACTGATGAACCATGAATTAATGCTTTGTCAAGTCTGCAGACAGACGGCAGGTGAAACACCTTTTAAAATGCGCGTTGTCTAAATGGAGATTGGCTAAGCTAACGTTGTATATGCTCCGACCGTCCACACTCACAACGGCCTATCCAGACATAAATAAACCAGCGACTGTATTCGCCATGACACAGGCAGTCTGTGGTTTGTACTTGTTTAACTTTTGTCTAGTTTCTGAACAGATATGAGGAGCTGTGAGCTCTGAGTGCTAACAGCTAACGGCTGATGTTGGTTTTGTGTTTCGCATTGAAGATGACGTCACGGCTCCGCCTACACTGCGTTACTATAGTTACTGCCCCAGTTCCTAAACTGTAATGGAAACGCAGCATAAAGTGAGCCTGGCCTAACGAGGCCTAACGAGGCCTAGCCATTCCGTACTAAGCCGAGCGAGGCCCTGTAGTGGAAAAGCGCCATAACTCACAAAATAACAGACTACAGACATTGGAGACACTCTGATATTTGTCCTTGGAGTTGGAGTTCAGCCTCACCCTGCAGGCGTGTCAGGAATCCTGCTGAAGCGGTTTTTAAATCTATTGTTTGTTTTCATACGCTCAATACGGCAACCATTTGAGATTTGAGGGATTTTTTTGGTAAGCTTTGTTCAGGTTTTGATCTTCAAATTCAATATAGAAACGGATGTTATAGAAACATGTTTCCTGATTCCAGCTTCCCTTTTTTTATTCTGTGCTGTGTAATTGCAGAAATGAAAGCTTTTTTGCTTCTCTTAGAGGTTTTATTCAAAAGCAAACGATGCCATTCAGGGCTCCACATTAGAAATGGCCCGCTGGCCCGGAAGCACTATTTAGACACCCCGGGCCAGCATAACGTACTTTCCACTTGCCCGCTCGGGCCACTACAAATATTGCTTTAAAAAAATATTGTTTAATATTTAAAGCAATATTGTTAAATTGATTTGTTTATTAACGCTACAACATAGCCTTTCGTGAGGCGGTTGTCGTTGTTGGGTGAAAAGCAAACAGCTGTTTTTGGTGCGCAGCGCGAGCAGGCTCCCGTTCACTACAGACTTTCTCGCCACCTAAACATTCGCCAGTTTTTTTTTAATACCAGCGGTAACCGGCCAAGCGTCGGGCAAAAAACAATCTTCAAATAAAAGAATGTCACCAAAGGAGTTAAAGGAGAGTGACGGGGAGTGTGAGAAGAAGAGGGAGAGGAAGTTTCAGCCACACTGGCTTGATCGATGGAGTTGGCTTCAATATGATGCCAACATAAACAAGGTCTTTAGTCGGCTCTGTACATCAATGCCGACCTACAGTATGCTGACAAGTAAGTGAAGAGTAGAACATATAAAGGTATATTGGCTATAGGGAAATGTCCCAGCAGTTTAGGAGAGTGACGGCTCTAATCTATTACATAGCCATTACATGCTAACTCCTGATGACAGGAAGGCAGAAAGCGCATTATTCAAATAATAATACTCATGATAATAGCAGACATTTTTTAACAATGACCACAATATAATTATTTTAATAAACCAAATATGAACAATTGAGGGAAATGAGGAAGAACTGATGATTCAGATGTTGTAGTTTGTGCATAAATTCCTACTGCAACAAATGTGTTCATTTTCTTCATTATTAGTCGATTCTTTGGACGAATGCTTCGGGCCAGTGGTTACAATGGTGGGGCCAGTGATAATGAATTTGACCCTTGACCTGTTAAGCCCGAGAGCCCTCCTGTAATTGTGTGTAACTCGTTCCTGATTGGGAACCTTGTGTAGCATGTCCCTCTTGTTGACAAGTTGCAAGTCATTTATTTATTCTAATATGAACAACAACTGAAAGGAGTCGTCGTTGGGGATAAAAACCCCGTTAAATATGTTTTGATGATGCTTCTGTGGTGTCTGAAAGCTGTAGTGGTGCGCCACAGATGGAGTCATTATCACACACACACACACACACACACACACACACACACACTAGGGCTGCATGATTTGGGGAAATAATGTAATTGCGATTTTTCTGACAGATATTGCGATTCGATTTGCGATATTTGTTTTTAAGCGACCCAACAGAAGTTTATTGTAAAATGCGGCCATATCTCCGGCTAGGAAGGTCGTATCAACGTGCTCCCGTCTCTAGCACCCCCGCAGCCCGAGCTACGAGTGAAAGAACTAAACTTGCATGAAACTTCCGTGGGGTTGCTTTAAAGTCAAGCTTCAGTTTAAGATTCACCCTGTAATAGAAACATGTGATGGAGCATTACTAACCTGACTCAGATGCTTTGTTTCACAAAACCATCTAGGAGAGCTCCATTGGAAGCCATTTGGAAAAGTATTACAAAAATACTTGGCAGGTGATTGGATCAATCTGTCTATCACCTTCTATCATGGGCCACTTCTGATTGGTTAACAATGACTGGTACATGTGGAGCACAGCACTTCTGATTGGTGTGGATGAATCGATTACTCGTTCAGCCCTAACACACACACTCACACTCACACTCACACTCACTCACACTCACACTCACACTCACTCACACTCACACTCACTCACACTCACTCACACGTGAAGGAGGAGCCTCAAACATGGAGGCATCTGTGTTCCTTCTGCTCTGCTGGATATGATTCCTGATTTATTTATTTATGAAATCATTATAAATGTCCACCTGAGGGGAAACAGTTTTCTAGTCGGGAATCTGGGACACATTTCTGTCTTTGATAATGTGTATTTAGTATCTAAAAAGTAAATGAAACTCAAGTTTTTGACCTGACAACACTCTGAATTAAACCATGTTATTTAACACGTTGTGCTGCCTTTACAAAGTATCAAATAATCTCTCAATGAAAGTTATTTTTTCCTCGTAATCTTGGATTTTTTCACTAATTATCATCATAAACGGCTGCAGCAGTGTCTGTGTTTTCTGGTGCTCTTTTTCTCCTTCTTCCCCCTTTTTTGGGTTAATATTAAGCGGTCTCTTTTCTTGCTGTAACAAATGCAGAAATCTGTTCCTACAGCAGCTTTTAATTCCTTATTTACTTTCTGTATTACTGACCTTTTTATTTTCACTTCCTTATGGCTGTATAAGGAAATACAAGTTAGAAATCCTCAGACTTTAGACTTTGGTACGTGACGTCTTTCAGTTTCTGTAAGAGCTCTTAAGTTTGTAGAAATGTCCCTGACGTCCCCACTTACTTATCTCAGTGTGTTCACATCCTCCTTCAGGTTTCAGACGTCTCACAGAGAACAAAAGGACAGGAGAACAGCTGTGAAACGTTCCTCTGATGCTTCCTTATTCCTTTAAAGTGTGTTGTTCTCCTTTGGAACAGGAAGTGTGACCTTAGAGCACCACCCTCAGGCTCAACCACACATATTACTCAGTGATTTAATATGCCTGTAGATGTTGAGTTTCATCACAAAACTCCTAAATATTTGTTGTGTTTCTGCGTATTCTTAGAGGGAAAGAATCCATGAACGCTGCAAGACGATCTGTCCCAACAAAGACAATGTGGAAGCTGTCTCCAGTAACAACTCCAACCACGGTATGAATTATTCATCTGCTGCTGCTGCACGACACACGCTGACGGCCTCCTCTCCATTAAAGTGACCGGTGGAAACACACATCACTTTCTGACACATGAGTGCATACTCGCACCAATACAGTGATTATCTGCAGCTGGACACACAAACTAGTTCAATGTTCAATATTTTAATTCTCAACTGTCACAAGATGATAAAAGACCTGCACTTTACAGATAACATTGTAAAAAAACTCAGAAAATTAGCACAAAAAACTACAAAAATCTTAAGAATTTTAACTTTTAACAGACGATTGAACTCCTCTGATTGGTCTACAGATATACAAAACTATACATATTTATTTTATGCATGCACCAGGCTGATGTAGACATCGTTAATCCACTTTCACTAAAGAGTCTTTTCTTGTTTTTAGACAAATCCAAAGCTGAGCTGGAACAAGTCCCGAAGGTAACACTTCTACTTTGCTCTCTGTTTTCATTGGATCACAGACTTAAACATTATATTTCCTCTTCTAGACATTTCAGTGTCTCTCAGTATTCAGATGTGAACAATTGGGTAGTTTATTTGCATGCAACCCAGGTTTACAATATCAGTAAATTATCAAATCTTCCTGATAAAATAACCTGAACAGAATTAGTTTAGGCTTTCATTTTTTGCTTAGTTAAAACAGATTAGCAGTCGTTGTCTTCTGTGTGTGCGATGTCTAGGAAGTCATTGTTACTATAGAAATGTTAAAAGCAAATTCGTAGACACTTTTGCTCAGAATCTTTATTTGAACTTGACCTTGTTGTTGTTGTTTTTCATGTGCAGATCTTCATGAAGCCTGAGTTTGCTCTGGAGGATCCGTCCACCTTCAACAGCGTGCTGCCCTGGTCGCACTTCAACAGCGCCGGGGGGAAGAGCAGCCGAGACGTGGCGTCCTCCAAACTCCTGCAGGAGAAGGTGATCTCCCTCTTTCACTCTGCACATCACACCTCACAGGCTTTCAGTTCCTCCTTTAGCTGCCTTGGAGAGCCTTAAAGTGGACCTATCATGCTATATTTGAATAATATAGTGTAGGGCCATACCTATATAAGGCATATTTATACTTTATTTTTTTCAAAATACCAAACAGATCATGCATTTTAGCCATGCCTCATTTCGTTCAATTTGACAATTCCTAGCTCTGTTTTTGCAAGGGCAGATTCTGTGAGAACAGCACCACCTACAGGCCTGGCATATGTACTACAGCGTCTCCAGCGCTTTCGAACGGCAATGGCCGTGGCTGTCTCCTCCTGATTGGTGGAGTTGGCCCAATAGCCGTAGCGCCACCGTCCTGTGTTCAAATCTGGATCAGTTTTTATCAGATCCGTTGCAGCCCCTTTTTTAGAGATTTGGGTATGGAGGAAAATAGAGAGGGTTGTGTTTTCTGACACTTGGTGAGTTCCCTGGAACACCGGGGACACATATTCATGTAGAAAAGACGTACAAAAGTGCATTTTGCATGATAGGTCCCCTTTAAAACAAATACCGACTAAATGGTAGTTGAATTGTCATTTTAGAATAATAATAATAATGCATTTTCCCAGTGCTCAAAGACGCTTTACATAAAATCAGAAACAGAAACAGCACAAAGAAAACAAAACTCCAACAGTAGTCCTAATCCTTTTGCAAGTAAAGTGGGGGGTGGTTGGATGAGGTCACTGAGGTAGGGGTGTGTGGTTGTTGATGGTTTTGTAGGTGAGAAGTCATATTTTGAAGTCAATCTGGTGTTTGATGGTTTGATATTATGTTGAATTTGATCCAAGGTCTAGACGTTCTTGTCTAACATAGTATTCTGCTTCTATATCATATTTCCCCTGCAGCTGAGCCACTACCTGGACGTACATTTGTATTTATTTTAAGATCTTTTCATACAATAATACGTATTGGGATTCATGTGGATTAATACGTGTGGACCGGAGGGTGACAAGCATAAGTTTGACTTCACTTTTTTATTTCACTTCCAACCTAGGTCATGAAGAATATAAGTTTCTCTGTTGTCAACTTTCATAAAGTCCTTTTGAATTCTCCTATCCACTATTCCTTATCCCCGTGACGTTTCACACAGAGGTCAAGGAATAGTGGATAGGAAAAGACGATAGGAGCTGATTTTTGGACTATTCGACTGCAACCCTGATCTGTGTCCCCCCTCAGCTGAGCCACTACCTGGACGTGGTGGAGGTGAGCATCGCCCGGCAGATCTCTCTTCGCTCCGATGCGTTTTTCCACGCCATGTCCTCTCAGCACGACCTCCAGGACCGTCTGCAGGACACTCAGCGGGCCGTGGCCGTCCTGCGCGGCCGCATCGCCGCCATCGACCGGGTCACGGTCCAGGGGCCTCTGAGGGCCCTGCGCACCAACCTGACCCGAAACAACTGCGTGAAGCTGCACAACAAACTGAAGCTGATGGCGGCGGTGCACCAGACGCAGCCCACCGTGCAGCTGCTGCTCTCCACCGCTGAGTTCATGGGGGCGCTGGAGCTCATCTCCACCACCAAGGAGGTCCTTCAGCAGGAGCTGCAGGGGGTCCACAGCTTCAGGTGAGGAAGGGGGGGGACTGTGGTGGGAATCAGAATATCAGAATCCCTTTATTCGTCCCACAGAGGGGAAATGTAGTGTTATGGCAGAATGTTTAATACAGCGTATTTCTGATATTCATTAATGATCACATGGTATTCCATATGATGTGTGTTACTGAGTTGGGTCACACACAGTTAGAGAGACAATGGTCGTTCTGAATTATCAATAGATGTATTCGTTTTAAGTGAGCTGACACCGAGGGTAGAGGAAGTTCAGAGAAGGCCTCGGGTTATAAAAACAGTTAACCTTTGTTAGTTAACTAATCCTAAGGATGTCATGAGATGATGACGTTTAAACATATACAGGTATAGCTTTCAGAGAGAAAAGCATGTGACATTTGTGTGGTAGGCTGCATGATACAATGTGTGTGTGTTAAACATGTTTGGGGAACATGTTCGTGTGTCATTTAGAAAAGTATATCTAGCCCTGTGTTTCTTCTGTTCTGGGGGGGCATTTCCACGATTGGCTGCTGTGACAGCAGGTGATGTGATTCCCATTATTGTTTGTTTGTTGCAACAACTAAATAATAATTACTTATCAGCTATATCTGTATTTGTGTTTTATTGATTCCTCTCTGTTTCATTCTTTCCTGTTGTGTGAGTGCTGGATCTCCACAACAGTGCTTTGTTACAGCTTACTGTTACCTCAGAAGCATGAAGTGCATTCAGTTGCATTCAGGTTCAGTCAGACATTACCTTTGATTGAGGCAAAGATACTTCCACTCAAGCTGCTTTACTTTGTGGGAGAAGTTATTACAGTTTTCCTGAGCTGTTAGATTGATTAATGACAAGGTACATGTAAAGTATGCAGGCGAAAAAGAAAAAAAACAGCTTTAGAACAAAAATGTTTTCCCTTTTATCTTTAAGTACATTCTTTGCTGACAGAAAGTCTCTTTAGTCTTTTTTGGCCACCTTTTTTTTTGTCTATTCTTAGTTGAAGGCAGGTGAGCTCAGATGAAAACAAAATAATGCTGAATCATCACAGCAGTAGATGATGAGATTAAAATTGAAAGTGCAGTGACAGCTCAGTTTTCTACAAAAAGCCCCGTGTGTGAATGTCACTGTGGTTTAGTGTCGAGTTGCATTTCCTTTCAGTCTGATGTAGAAATTAAGATTCAGACATGACCTTTTAATTGAAGCAAAGATACCTCAAGCTGTTCCTGAGTCTGTTTGAGTGGTTAATGAGAAGCCATAAAGTATAGAGGAGAAAATTAGCATGAAAAACGTTGTCTGAGCTGGCTTCACTTTAATATCATTTCTGACTGATAGAAAGTCAGTTATTGATCTTTCTTGGCCAACATTTCATTTTCAGTCAAAGACAGGTGAGCACAATGAGAACAACATAATGCTGAATCATCGCACCAGAACATGATGATAAGAAAAAGTGTTACTGCACTTCATTCAATTTTAATCTCAACAACAACATCTAGATTAAACTGTCTAGTCTGTTGTTTGTCAGACATGGTCACATTATGACTCTCAAACCATTTCATGTGACCTTCAAAGCCTAAGTACAGGAAGTTGTGTACTTGAAGTCAGAAACCACACAAACTGCAGCTAAATGTCTGTCTGTCTTCTCTGTGTCCCTCAGACATCTGGGCTCTCAGCTGTGTGAGCTGGAGAAGCTGATTGATAAGATGATGGTGGAGGACTTCAGCATGTACGCCCGCAGCGACCTGAACCGCTGCCTGAGGGACGAGCCGCACGTCCTGGAGAAGGTACCATCAAAACACTCAAACAAAACAACTCAAACAAAACAACTCAAAAACACTTATTCATTCCTGTGTCCTCAGCTTTGTATGTGTCAAAACCCTCTAATAGGAGATGTTGACAATCGCCTCAAACAAAGAAGGGCCTGACATTAAATTACTATAAGAGAGAGAGAATATAATTAAATAGGCGCTTTCACACCGGAGTACTTTTCCCGTTTAGTTCCGATAGTTCCTGGGATTTTGGGTTCACACCAAAAAGAGAACTTAATTCATGAGAACTTTCCCCCCCTTTTCAGTCCCCGCTAGAGAGGTGGGACTTTCGTGGGAGAAAAAAGTTCCAATTTCTGATTGGCTGGGCGGATTGCAAACCACGGCCCGTAAAACTCTGAAAAGTTTTGTGAAGCCGCTGTAGCCATTGAAGCCATTGTATTTGCTGGCATTAGCATTATTAGCATTAGCATTCGCCCAGCTCACCAACGGAGAGAGAATAACTTATGGCAACACAAACTAAAACATGGGAGCGGTGGAGATGAGGAGTTGTCGGCGTTCTGGCGATTTACTCGGAAGGCTTCAGTAGAAGCTGCTGGGAGTCCCAGCAGCTTCTACTGAAGTCCAACTCCGGGGATTCCGGGTGGCAGTATACGCCGTGAAGTAGTTTGCGGCCTGCCAGTAAACCCAAAGCAGAAGAAGAAGTGACGTCAGCGGCTTCATTTGCCTAATCCTCCCTCAGGGACTTATTCCGGTGTGAACGCGATCTGCTCTTTAGTTCATCAGAACTAAAGAGTTCTGATGAACTAAAGAGCAGATCGCGTAAGTACGGCAAAGTACTTGGTGTGAAAGCGCCTGCTGTGAATAGGCCTCATAATGATTTAGAAAATTAAATGAGAAAATCTATTTGATAAGGAATTACATTTGCAATTCAAAATCAATCGTATGGTTTTTAATTAAATACAGAATGTGTTGAGGGGAGCTAAAGATTCATTTAGAACATATTGAAATATTAAGTAGGATCTTTTAAAGTCTTAAGTTTTACTGTGTTTTGTAAATGACATTTGAAAAGAAGGGGGTGTTTGTTTAAAAAAAAGCTGAGGTTTCATGTTTTGTATTCGTTAGTTTTTCATTTTCACAGGCCATAAAAAGCCTATTTAAATAGAACGTGTGGCCTTTAGCCGCATGACATCCCACTTCCTGTCTCTCTACAGCTGCTTGATCAATAGCGGCAAACCGCCAAACCGCCAGTCTCTAAGAAAACCAAAAACATTATTTGTGTGCAGCTGCAGACATTTGCTCTTACTGTAGAGACACTAATGTGATTTGTGTGTATTTAACGGATGCTGTGCCCATCGCAGGTTTATGAACCAAACGATGCCTCACGGAAGGTGACACACACACACACACACTCACACTCACACACACACTCACACTCACACTCACACTCACACTCACACTCACACTCACACTCACACTCACACTCACACTCACACTCACACTCACACTCACACTCACACTCACACACACACAAATCAAAATCTGCTGCTTGAATTAAGCTCTGGTGTCGCAACACGGATCGATAACAAATCTTTTGTGGGGATAATCATGTGAGCGCTTGTTTTAATGTGCATGGAGTGCCAGATGGGTGGAGTTATAACGTTTTTTGGATGATTCATGGTGTCGCCTAGATTGATAAGCCCCAGAATAAAATGTTTTAATTTAAATATATTTTGCTATTCTATAATTTGTTTTGGTTACAGTCAGTGTAAAAGATTGGTTTAATACAAAAATATATATATTTTCAAATAATCCAAGCGCAACAGGATTAAATTAATAATAATTGATCTTTTCTGTAGATTTACCGCTGATGAATGTATACCTGAAACACAAATAAGCCGAATGCAATTACACAGAGACCCCTAGTGGAGGGGAGGGGGTCTATGTTATTGTTTATGCATCAGTCTATATAAATGTCTAAATGTGGTCTCTAGCTGGCTCATGCAGAACTAAAGATTATATTAATTTGGGGCTTTGTATTGATTTGTTGCTTGTGATGTTTAATTTGTTTGATTTCAGCTTGGTGAAGAAATCCTAATTGATCTCAAATCACTTTTCCTATCGTCTGAAACGCTGCTGCCTGTCCAGATTAACACTGATTCATGTATAAACTGCACTGGTATTGTTGAGTATTAAATGTGTTATCTTTGCGTGTGTGTGTGCGTGTTATCTTTGTGTGTGTGTGTGTGTGTGTGTGTGTGTGTCAGGAGCGTCTGGAGTCCCTGGTGTTCGGCCTGCTGCGGCAGAGGAAGCTTGACTTCCTGGATATTTACAGCGAGGAGATGATCATGGCGGTGAAGACCATCGTCTCTCTGGTACCACCTCCTGACACTTAACACTACACATTTTTATTTTGTAAAAATTCTTCACATTATATTCTACAAATCACTGATCACACATTTAGTCATTATGTGATTTAAAAACTCTTAATCTGTTTGTGTTTTTCAGTGTGTGGCAGAAAATGTTTTGCAAATTGAAGACATCGACACTGAAGTGGTCACTAAGTGAGTAACAGCAGTTTTTTTTACGGCATAGAAGTTTATATATTTTTTTTTGTGACAAGATTTTGCATCGACTTTTGGATACGTTGGGAAAATAACTTGAAATGCAGAATTGGTTTGACTGTAATAGACCGAGTTGTTTTATGAGCAGAACACGATGAAACTACATCATGTTTCACACCTGAATACTGAGAAACACTGAAGTGCTAGAAAACTAAATCTGAGTTTAAATAAAATAAAAAGTATGATTATTGGGTAATCTTTAGACAACTTTCACATTTGTGATATTAAACATTTTACACTTAAAGGTGGGGTATGTAATTCACTTCAGAAACACTTGTTATATTCCATGGAATGCTCTTAACATCCTGATAGCAATGAATATATGAAATGCTTTGACAATAAATCCATAAAAAAATTAATCTGTGGAAGCCGTAGTACTGTAAAAAGCACGACCAATCATCTGAGCCGGCCCGGCTAAAATAACTGGATGGCCTACCTGCCTGTCAGCCTTCCATCTGTGCACAAACTTATCTCGTGCCCTCATTGGTCATGTGCGCGTTCGTGTGTGTTGGAGGAGGGGCTCTGTAAGGAAGTCTGAAGGAAGGGGCAGATTTTCTCCGGTTGTGTATTTTCAAATTCTAGCGCACTCGAGCTGGTTTCTCCATTCTTACCTGCCCTACCTTTAATAGTTTTTACTTTCAATTGTTTATTTAGTTATCGAAATTGGATCCTTTTTTTGAGATTTTTCTCAACACATAAAGGCAAACTTCATCTTTCAGTTCATCACAAACTTTTATAATCAACACATCTGGAGATACATGGTTTACCCTGAACAGGAAGAGGATGAGAAGTGTAATCTGAAAAGTAACTAAAGCTTTCAGTGAAGGCAGTGGACATTCTCAAGTAAAGGGATGTATATAAAGAGTGTTTATATACACAGGCTTATTATCTTTATAAACTTTATGTGAAATGTGTGTGTCTGAAGGGTAGCGGACCAGACCCGTCTGATGACGTTCCCTCAGTGGTTCGAGCTGCTGAAAAGCGTCTTTGAGAGTTTCCTCCTCTTCCTGCAGAGGATCAAGGTGAGTCTGATCTCAGCTGCAGAGTCACAATGTGTTGTGATTCCGAAAGATACTTTAAAGGTCTCCTATCATGCAAAATTAGACTTTTTTTTTAATGTCTTCTATACATAAATATGTGTCCCCGGTGTGTCAGGGAACTCACGCAGCGTCAGAAGATAAAACCCTCTCTCTTTTCCTCCGTACCCAAATCTCTAAAAACGGGGGTACAACGGAGCGGATCCAGATTTGCGTCCGAGATGACGTAATATCTCAAATGTGGACCCACGGCCCTATCAGAAACGTTGCTATATGAAACAATGCCCGACTGTTTTGGACGTAATATGGTCTTTGTTTACATTAGCAAGCATCGCTAACACTCAGAGCTAACCTGTGCTGGAGTGTGCTGAGTATCTGGGTAGAATTCTCCTCCATGAATTTTTTTTTTTTAAAGCTACGGACCCAGAATCAGCAGTTCTCTAACAGGGCTGAAATAGAGGGGGATGAGGCAGGGCTAGAATGGGTGATCTGTTTGTTATTTGGAGAAAAACACTTCATAGACATGTTTTTCTATATATGAGACCTATTTTATATGCCTAAAAATAGTATAATAGGAGACCTTTAAAACCTGTCTGACTGCGTCGTTTGTTTCAGGCCACTCAGACCGTGATTAAAAACGTGGTTCTGGAGGTTCTGGCGTCGACGCAGAAGCTCCGCCTCCTGGAGGAAGCCGCTTTAGTTCAGGAGGCCCCCCCCGGCCCGGAGCTTCTTCAGGGGGGGGGGGCGGAGCTGGCCTACCTCACCCACGAGGGGCTGTTCATCAGCGACGCTCTGAACGAGGCCCAGCAGGGGGTCCAGGACCAGAGCTCGGTGGGGGGGGCGAGGCTCCAGGACCAGAGCTCGGTGGGGGGGGGCGAGGCTCCAGGACCAGAGCTCGGTGGGGGGGGCGAGGCTCCAGGACCAGAGCTCGGTGGGGGGGGCGAGGCTCCAGCAGAGGGACTCCGCCTCTGGATACACAGAGACCTCAGTCAGCCGCGAGCAGAGCTACATGTAAGATACTCAAGATTTCTCCATTTTTTTTTTACTCTGTTTTGACATTTAAGAGCATTTTAGGGCTCCAGTTTGATTAATAGATGCTAAGTACTTAAACAGTGGTGCAGGTATGATGTTTGTTTGTAGGCTGGCCCGCAAGTTAGCATTTCCCAGGTTCCCTAAACAAAGAAATAAGAGATTTTTCCATTTTAGTTTTGAAATATTGTAGAAAAAAGGTTGGCAAATGCACAGGATTATCTCCACTTTTATGATTTACGAAGCATAATTTAAATGTCCAAAAATAAAATGTTAACGTTAAGCTATAAAGGAACTACAGCGCGGTCGCATGACTTCATGACGGTAAACTGAAGGCGGCTAATGTTGGGTGTGATGGCGTATTTACTGACACATTTTGTGTCCTAGAACAAGTGCAAATCTGTTAAGCTGTCTACCCTTATTTAAGTTTGTGATCCTGTATCGCAGGTTTGATTGTGGCGATTATAATGACAGGGGGGATTTTCAGGTGTGTGTAAAAGTCTCAGACTGTAAGTGTGTGTGTGTGTGTGTGTGTGTGTGTGTGTTCAGGTCCGGTGAGAACATGATGCCGTCTGACCTGGAGCTGAACAGAGTGATGAACACGCTGCAGGAGCTTCTGCACACGGCCTCCGACGTGAGCCACGACCGCTGCGTCAAAGTGCTCACCGCCAGGGCCAAGGTACACAACCTGAGGAGGAGTTAATAATACAATAAGGAAATACCAGAGGTGGGAAGTAGTGGAGTACAAATACTTTGTTTCTGTACTTGAGTACATTTATCTGGTATCAGTACTTTACTCCACTACTTATTTCTCTGATGGCTTTCTACTTTGGCTTCTTACATTTTGAACTCAAATACCTGTACTTTCTACTTCTTACATTTTGAACTAAAATACCTGTACTTTCTACTTCTTACATTTTCCAAACAGGCTGGTTCCTTTAGTTTGAATGTGTGTTTGGTGGCGTGATCATTATTATTTAGAGTCATTGCGTGCCTATTGATTTGAACACGATCCGTGTATCCATCATTTCCTGGTCTTCTCTAAAGAAGAGGGACCAATGAAAACGTTGTCATGTTGCCGTTGTTCAGCATGGAAACATTCATTAGCTAACAATGACATTATTGTTCTATTAATATAAAGGGAGGTCAGGTACTCTTTAAAACAGATGCTAGTTATGGGTACTTTTTACTGAAGTACATTTCAAAGCCTCTTTACTTTCACTTGAGGAAAGAAGTTTAGTCTGTACTTCTACTTTTAGCAGAGTATTTTTAAACATGAGTATCTGTACTTCTACTTGAGTAAAGGATGTGTGTACTTTTGCCATCTCTGGAAACACTGTCCGTGAAGCTTCCCTCTGTCTCCACAGGACGGCTCTCTGGAGCGCCTCAGCTCGGCGGACTTCGTGCTGCTCTCTCAGACGGTGGAGGGGTTCGTGCGGGACACGGAGGATCTGAGCGGGCGGAGGAGCGCCTCGCTGCGGGGGGCGCTGCAGAGCCAGGCCAACCGCTTCGTGCACCGCTTCCACGAGGAGCGCAAGACCAAACTCAGGTTAGCAGAAACACAGACAGGAAGATTACAGCACACAGGAGAGAATATGATTTACCAACCTCCGCTTTCACAAACTACTCTACAACTACTGACAAAGAAAACAGTTATCACGTTTTATAAAGGTCACCTATTATCCAAAATGCACTTTTTGATGTCTGTTATACATAAATATGTCCCCGGTGTGTCAGAGAACTCACAAAGTAAACTACTGTACGATGAGTGTTTTATAATGCCATTTTATAGCATGTTTCTGCTGCACTATTTCTTAATGCTCGTAATGTATTTCATTTTTGTAAAGCACTCTGAAAGGTGCTATATAAATAAACTTGCCTTGCCCTTGCCTACGACTACTGACAAAAAAAACTGTCTTCACATTTTTGAAATAACAAATGTACGTGAAATAATACTCTAAAATGAACAGTTTTCAACATTATAAGCTTTCAGTTGAAATGCCAATCAAGACGTGTCTTTAGGTGTGTGTGTGTGTGTGTGTGTGTGTGTGTCCTGGTGCTTGATGTCTGATGTCTGTTGTTGTTTTGCAGCCTCCTCCTGGATAACGAGCGCTGGAAGCAGGCGGAGGTTCCCGCTGAGTTCCAGGATCTGGTGAACTCCATCGCTGACGGAAGAATAACTCTACCGGAGCGCAAAATCCCAGGTACACAAAACCCCCAAACCTCAGCTCCCTACACCCCCTCTGGTTCTGCTTATTGCTATACAGGAAGGAAACTGGTGCAACATGTGACCAGTGAATAGTATACACTTGATTGGGTGCTTGTTCACAAAAAGACTCAGAATGAAAAGACTCAGAAGATGTCTGGACTGAGATAAATATTTAATCAAATGTCTTCAGTGTAGAACAATGAACCTCTGACTTTGACAGTGATGTTAGATGGGAAACATGAGCTGTTATCAATAACCTAATCAATAACCTAATCAATCATTCTTTATCAACTAAGAGATGTCACTTCTCAGATCAACCAGTATTTAATAAATGTAAGAATTATTATGTTCTGTGTGCAGGTACAGAGGACAGGAAGCCCACAGAGTTTCTGTTCGTCAACGGGCAGAAATATGCCGTAGTCGGGTTCGTAACAAGACATGATACATAACTTAAAACTAATCAACAAATGATCATTTTAATTTGAACTCCAACTGACCTCGTCTTGAGAGATTTACTGAAATTAAAGTCTGAGATATTGACATACGATGTAAACTGTTGTAACAGGACGGTGCTGCTGCTGATCCGGATCTTTCTGGAATACTGTCAGTGTGTCAACGACATCCCATCCATCGCCACCGACATGCTGACCCGTCTGTCCGACCTCCTCAAGGTCAGAGCCTCCTCAAGATTTCATTCATTTCTTATTTAAAAGTGACTTAAAGGTGGGGTAGGTAAGTTTGAGAAACCGGCTCGAGATACACTTTTTGTTATATTCCATGGAATGCTCTTAACATCCCGATAGCAATGAATATTTTAAGTGCTTTGACAAAAAATCGCCGTAGCGCCACCGTCCTGACGTCAGGACAGTGTTCAAATCTGGATCAGTTTTTATCAGATCCGTTGCAGCCCCTTTTTTAGAGATTTGGGTATGGAGGAAAATAGAGAGGGTTGTGTTTTCTGACACTTGGTGAGTTCCCTGGAACACCGGGGACACATATTCATGTAGAAAAGACGTACAAAAGTGCATTTTGCATGATAGGTCCCCTTTAAGTTGTATTTTTATTTATAAAAGTGATGTGTAGCAGCTGCACACCGTTAGCTTAGCATCGTGTTTTAAAAGCATTTCTTCTTCTGTGGTTTCTGCAGCACTTCAACTCTCGGAGCTGCCAGCTGGTTCTGGGAGCCGGAGCTCTGCAGGTCGTCGGCCTGAAGACCATCACCACCAAAAACCTCGGTACACGCGCACGCACACGCACACGCACACGCACACGCACACATACACACACACACACACACACACTCAGATCACCGCCTGTAGAGGAGCTTTCAATACTGGAAATGGAGGCGCTAATTATTGCGAAGTGTTGCTTCTGCTGTCTAATTTTTGCTGTGTGTGTGTGTGTGTGTGTGTGTGTGTGTTTGTTCTGTGTGTGTGTGTCTGTGTGTGTAGCGTTAGCCTCCCGCTGCCTGCAGCTGGTGGTTCAGTACATTCCCATCATCAGAGCTCACTTTGAGACCAAACTGCAGCCCAAACAGTACAGCGTGCTCAGACACTTCGACCACATCACCAAGGTAACGCTCACAAAGAGATATGATTGGTTCACGGGACAGGAAGGAGGGAATGTAGAGGAGTAGAAAAGGAAGTACTCAATTAAAATAAAAGTAAATCATATTTGTACTGACTTACAATCCATCAATGTGTTTTATTCTAAGATCTAAAAGTTGTTTTGTTCAAATGTTGTCTTTTTGCTCTGCAGGACTACAACGATCACATAGCGGAGGTCTCTGCTAAGCTGGTGGCCATCATGGACAGTCTGTCTGAGAAGGTTTTATCAAAGGTGAGCTCAGGTTTGAATGTTTAAACTCTGACGTGATTATTACATATTTATGTGTAGTCATATGGCGCTTCATGTCTGCTGCACTCTGGAACCTCAGTTTAACTCTGAACAAATGTTGATTCATAGAGATGTATTCAACTCCAACTCTAGCCATCTTTGTGACCCTATGGAAGAAACGTCTACACTCTATTAGAGCCATACTTTAAGTTTAATGGTATTCTTTATTATATTGCTTTTAATGCTATACTATATATAATATTGTGTGTGTGTGTGTGTCCTCAGTATGAAGTGAAGGCTCCGATGCCCTCGGCTGTTTTCAGAAACGTCTGCAAACAGATGGCCAAGATGCACGAAGCCATTTCTGAGCTCCTTCCTGAAGAGCAGACGCAGGTGAGACTCTACAGACTTCACTGTTTACATAATGATACAATGTAATAATGTGCTGTGTTTCTGTGAGTTACTTTGCGTCTCAGACAGATGTGTGTTTCTGTGCAGATGTTGTTTCTGAGGATTAATGCCAGTTTTAAGCTACACCTGAAGAGGCAGCTATCTCGACTCGGGGTCGTTAATGACGGAGGACCACAGAACGGGTAACACAACACACACTTAATGACTATTAACTCATTTAAAACTAATCGGGGATCATTTCCAGCCTGAAGATAATACAAATGTATTTGGTTTATATGCAAAATATTAGGCATGTTGAGGTCCAAGAACCATCAAATAGATCCTTTGTTTACTTGCGTAACAAAGTGACATCACCATAGCGCTCCAACACATTGTCTGGTATAGGCTAAGGGGCGGGACATCTCTAAGCGGTTGACCAATCACAACAGAGCCAGCCAGCTAACCAATCAGAGCAGACTGGGCTCTGGTTTCAGACAGAGGGTGAAAAGAGGTATATATATATATAAACGTAGTGTTAAAACGCCGATATTTTTTATAGTTAATTATAGACAATCAAAAGTAAATTGAGGCCTATCTGATACTTTTGTTGCACGTGTGACCGGTGTCTGTCTGCGTTGTGTATGTTTCTCAAAGAGGACGGCGGACGCTATTTTAATTAGGTCATCCCAAACAATGCCACAAGTGGGCACGCGCGCAGTGCACTCACAAAACGGGCAGACAGGTCTACAGAAACTACCGGTATGCTTAGTCCTACTTTAGTTACTGAACTGCAAACAGCAGACGGCGCTGCGCTCAACGCACACAGACTGAAAACCATGGACACACCGCCACATAAGTTACATAAACAATATATAGGCCTAAGTTGCATAAATGCTTGAGCTACGTCATTGCAACTAAGCAGACAGCGCTGCTTCTCTCCCTCTCCCACACACACACACACACGGCGCTGCCCCTCACACACACAGGCTGTTTTCGTCATTATTACAACAAATACACACTTGCAACTGATAACACTGGCAAAGATTTTATATTTATTAGAATATTCAAAAAAGTGGGGGCTCCAAATAAGTGGGGGGACGGCGATCCCGCGCGTCCAACGACCCCTACACTGATATCATTAGAAAGCTAGGAATCTCCTCTGTCCAACAGTGTATGCAACTCAAAATGTGTCTGATTTCGATGGAGCAGGTCACATACAGTATGAGGCGGTCCCCGAAAATCCTTGATAATAAAAAGTCGATTTTATTTAGCTTTTTTCCACGGACCACCTGCGAGACCACAGTTTCAGAACCGCTGCACTAGAGGACTTCCACACAGTGAGAATCTGGTAGCAGGAGATGTTTGAGCATGTGTTGTGTTTTTAAAATGATTTCATGAGGAGGATAATTATTCTATATAACAATAAATGGCTTTTAACTCGAGTCTAACTGTTTTAAATGTGACCGTCTGTCTGCAGGCTGGTGGTGGTGGACGTTGCGTTCTACACGGAGAACGTTCAGGTGTTAAAGAGCCTGGACCGGCTGGATCTGAACATGGTGGAGATCTGGGAACAGAAGAGGTGATGGAGGACAGAGACGGGACGTCCAGCATCGACCCGGAGACAGAGTGGAGACGACCTCAGGGGGGAAGGAAGCCCGGAGGGACCAAAAAACACAAAACCGGGGGCTTCCTGAGCTCCACCTTAAAAACTGTTATCATGAACACAGAGCCTCCTTAAACGCTGCTGATCACTGTGTGCAATCCAACAGAAGCTATAGTAAATTATTAGAGACAGTTTTAGTGGGAGTGAACGGTGTAGATAATGTTTGAGAAAAGGCGGGTAATTTATTTTTCTGTCGTCTTGGAAGCATTCTACCTTCTGGCGGACTTTTTCCTCCACACGTCGGAGGGGATGAAGGGATTTTTATCCCCAACGCACAACGATGTTTTCTGCCGCTGGTTTCGCAGAGTTCACAGCCGAGGGTCCAGGGTTCAGGTTCTGCTCGTTCTCTGAAGGAGTCTACAGGTTTTCTTTATCCCAAAACCTCATTCATCTGAGGAGTATGGGCTGTGGTGACGGGTGGAAATGGATTCTTAAACTTTTATACTCAAGAAATATTTTGCAGACTTCAAGACCTGGAAATCCAGACGATGTGAGACCTGGAGGAATCTGAAAAATGTGTAATTGAAGAGTTAACTCCCTGAAAAATGTCAAGGACTGTGAACGCATCACAACTCTCAGCGACATCCTGTCCCGACCAAAGTAAAAACACTTCATCTGGGGGATTTAACTCTTTAATTACACTTCTACTAAATTATGCATTTTCTTCAGTGGTGGTGATCGAGGGTGATTTTTCTACGTGTTGTTTAAACGATGAGACTGCAGAACATGAAGCATGAAAATCAGCTGCTGACTCAAACTACTGTTCTCCTCCTGCTGCGGTTTATTTACTCTGCATGATCAGAGCGGGAGCCCTTTGTTTCCTCTGGAGCGCAAACGACTCGAAACGGAGCAGAAAATCCGATTTTAATATCTACACTGGAACTTTAAAACTGGACATCAAGACGGACATCAAGACGGTTTTACTGGAGCAAAATAATGCGGTCAATTTCATCCCACAATCAAACAAATCTGTGCTTTTGCCTTTGTTTAAATATAACATTTGAAGAAAGTAGGCCATAATATAAACATTGAGATAATATAAACAGCAGAACATCAACTCAACAATAAGTGGAACATCAAAATGTTTATTTGAAATATGCCGGGGTCAGGATTTAGTGCAACCCAAACCCATTGCCTTCCAAACCTTGTCTAATTAAATATAACAACAAAAACCTGAATTTACTGAATTGTTATTTAATATCTACAAAATAACTTGTACTTTAGCAACTAAGTAACACATTCAAACCTTTATTTACATATCTTCACATTTAACAGGATTAACAATACAAGTGAACTTTTCTCTATTCAAATTCCAGTTATGTTTTTAGTTTATAAAGAAATAATGAAATTGAATAGATAATTCCCATTCCCTGATCCGGATCTTTGGGTCAGTATTCGCCTGATATTTGATTATTTTTTTCAGGTTTTCTTCAAACATTTAATTATTTTTTTCAGGTTTTCTCAAAATGTCAGATTTAATCCAAACAGATTTTTTTCTGAAATTCTCCAAAAATCAACATTTTTTTTCCAAAAGATTTTCCGATTTTTTTCTGATTTTCTCCAAACATTTGATTATTTGTTTTTCTAAGAATGTGATGTTTTTCCGTCAGATTTTCATCAAAACTTAAGATTTGTCTTTTCAGATCTTCGCTTAAACATAAAAAATCAGATTTACTCCAATCATCAGATTATTTTCCCCAATGATCTGATTTCCTGCTCCTAATCCAGTCGTGCTGCGCTCCGTCTTAAAGAAACTCCTCTGTCCAGCTGCAGTCACATCACGTCTCTGCTAACTAATATATAAACACTACAGTCGAGCTCTAAAATAATTTAAGATGACGAGAGAACAGAACTTTATTGTCACTGCATTAACTGCTGAAGTACTTTAATACAGGGACATGGATCCTGTTATCCTGAGATATATGAAACAGCTGTTCTCAGAAACACATCTGCCTAAATGTTCTCGTATAGATTTCAGATCAAATGTGTGATGTGACTGCAGCTCCCTAAACACAGGGATTCTCCTCACTGCTTCAGAAGTGCCTACTTTTGACTGTCAGACGACACATCTGAGCTCCACTACAGTGTGCCTACCATACCACTGTGTGTGTGTGTGTGTGTGTGTGAGAGTGAGTGTGTGTGGATGAGTCTGACTGCATGTCTGAGAATCCAAAATGTCTTGAATCCTTCAAACCTGATGTGAATAAAACAGGATGATGGAGCGCCTTGTTGTTCAGTCTCTTTATCTGCTGCATATTTGAACGTTTAAGGCTTGGTCAGATAATTGTTCTGTTGATAAAGTGTCCGAATATTATCCGTCATTAAAGTCCAAAAACATTGTCTTCAAATTAGAGATGCACCAACTGGAGTTTTCTTAGCAAATCACAATTTTAAGTTTTTTGCTGATTTATCTTTCCAATAATAATTGGCAACAAAAAAAATTTCTTTACTTTTCCTTAAAAATCTAAATGACATTTTGTTAAATATAAAGTAATATTGTACAGTGAAGACAATTGGTCTAAGATAAATATACTTTACAGAAAAAATATAAATTGTTATCTTTCTATTAAGGCAAATTAAAGTTACTATGGTTGAAATTATTTGTTTTCCATTCATACTTAAATATTTTGTGTTTTTTGTTTGTTTTCCTGTGGTTTTGTAATTTTTAAATGGGTTTAAAACGACTGGCTTATGAAAGGCCATTATTACAAAGAAAGTTGAATTTGGATTTAGTGAAATCCAATATTAGCAAAAACCATATCAAGTAGTTTAGTTAATTTAAAATTCTCATGCAAAAAATGTGCAAATGCAAAATCTTCAAACTACCAAAACGTATTTAATAGTCAGTAAATCAATCATATCAATTAATTAAATACATTTCTTATTCAATTCTGTTTTAGTTTCATTAAAGTGGACCTATCATGCTATATTTGAATAATATAGTGTAGGACCATACCTATATAAGGCATATTTATACTTTTTTTTGTTCAAAATACCAAACGGATCATGCATTTTAGCCATGCCTCATTTCGCTCAATTTGATAATTTCTAGCTCTGTTTTAGCAAGGGCAGATTCAGTGAGAACAGCACCATCTACAGGCCTGGCATATGTACTACAGCGTCTCCAGCGCTTTCGAACGGCAATGGCCGTGGCTGTCTCCTCCTGATTGGTGGAGTTGGCCCAATAGCCGTAGCACCACTGTCCTGACGTCAGGACAGTGTTCAAATCTGGATCAGTTTTGATCAGATCCGTTGCAGCCCCTTTTTTAGAGATTTGGGTATGGAGGAAAATAGAGAGGGTTGTGTTTTCTGACACTTGGTGAGTTCCCTGGAACACCGGGGACACATAGTCATGTATAAAAGACGTACAAAAGTGCATTTTGCATGATAGGTCCCCTTTAAATTAGTTTCTGTCTTTTATGCCTCTTCACTGACACAAAACTCAGAATATTTTAATGAAAATTGTGACGGCATTTAATACTTTTATTTAATTTAAACCAACGATAAATCAAGAAGATAATCCGAAGAGTAATTCATAATAAAGAAAAATCTTAAATTGTAGTCTGATATAAAACATCAATGCATAAGTAATGGTTTATAATAATACTATACGGATAGTTTGTTAATGTATGTTCATATCTGTATACATACACACATACAGTACCTTAATGTCGTAAATGAAACTCGAAGGTCTGTCCCTCTGAAAAAGAGCTTCTTTCTGTACGTTTTTATTTTGATATTGTACATTTTCATAAATCCAGAAGGTAAAATCAAACTGAGATGACTTAAAAAACTTTAAAATAATCAAAAATCTGGAATTAAACTCCAGATACAAACACCACATGACTCTCTGTTGACGGTATTGCACTTTTTTATTGGCAGCAGAAACACCACAGGGGTCAGACGGTGTTTTCAGAAACAGGAAGTTCCCTCGTGTCTGCAGACAGGAAGACGTTGACCTTTGACCCTTCAGGTTGTCTTTACATTAACAGAAAACAACGTGTGATAGTTCATTAGAGCAGAATAAATCATCTTCGAGTCTCTTCAAGGTGCAAATGGCTTGTTTGAAATCGCTTTTCTTTCTCCCAGAATGCATCAGTGGTCGAGGATCCGCAGGTTTCCAGAAACTATTTTGTTCTCCAGCATCGCTCCGGCGGGGATATCGATCCGGTCTCCGTGATTGGCTATGATGATGACGGTTCCCTGAAGGAGGTAAAGAGGTTGGACGTTATTTGACTGGTTTATGGTTGGCAGAGGTATAGGAGGTATCAGATCCGTATAAGGATAATTCAGTTAGAACTAATACAGCACTTATTGCTTTCTATTTCGATGTAAATTACTGCTTTATTTTATTGCTATCTTACTATATTAGTATTACAGTGTTCTTAATATAGTTCGCTATCTGTGTTCTTTTTTACTTTTATGTATGCACCATGACATCAAGTCAAATTCCTCGTACGTGCCAACCTACCTGGTAATAAACCTGATTCTGATTCACTATAAAAATAATACTCTGTCCTGTTTTGAAAATTAAAGTGGACCTATCATGCTATATTTGAATAATATGGTGTAGGACCATACCTATATAAGGCATATTTATACTTTTTTTTTTTCAAAATACCAAACAGATCATGCATTTTAGCCATGCCTCATTTCGCTCAATTTGAAAAATGTTAGCTCTGTTTTAGCAAGGGCTGATTCAGTGAGAACAGCACCATCTACAGGCCTGGCATATGTACTACAGCGTCTCCAGCGCTTTCGAACGGCAATGGCCATGGCTGTCTCCTCCTGATTGGTGGAGTTGGCCCAATAGCCGTAGCGCCACCGTCCTGACGTCAGGACAGTGTTCAAATCTGGATCAGTTTTTATCAGATCCGTTGCAGCCCCTTTTTTAGAGATTTGGGTATGGAGGAAAATAGAGAGGCTTGTGTTTTCTGACACTTGGTGAGTTCCCTGGAACACCGGGGACACATATTCATGTATACAAGACGTACAAAAGTGCATTTTGCATGATAGGTCCCCTTTAAGGAAAATAAGGAAAATGTATTTAAAGTATTACAAATAGAAATCTGTCCCCTTTGACTGTTTACATTATGTCATTAGATTTGTATTAATCATGCGTTGATGTAAAGGCAAGCTTCAACTCTTATCTATGATGTTAGAAATCTACTTGTTTCCATTTCATTTGGTTATCAATGCCTGATCGGTACCGTGTATGGACAACATTCATGAGAGAAGAAGAAAGTAAGATTACAAAAAGGTCATAGGATGTAAAACAATAAAACGAATCCTAGAAAGTCATTAGAAGAATTGTTTTTGGACTTACTGTACATCATATGTGTATGCTATTGTTAAAGCATATACTATTTCATGACATTTTTGTAACATAATATGACTTCTTATCGCATACTTCTATGACCTTTTAGTTCACTTGCATGGCATACTGCATTATTACTTTTAATTATTACTATGACTTTTTATGATAATTTTCTTTTTGGCAAACTGTTGTCGTGAGAGTTGAGTGTCTGTGAGAGTGGTTGACCTTCAGAGAGACGTTCTTCCCGAAGGTCACGTCTCCGGACACGGTGAGATGGTCCAGCTCCAACATGTCGGGGATGCTCTCAAACCTGCAGAGGAACTGCTGGACCTGAACACAACAAACAAAACATCATAAATGTTACACAGGGTACAATCGGGAAGAATTTCATTATTTACAAGATACATATTATTTTCTTCTTCAAAAAATAACAAAACAATAATTGTGTTTTCTTTAGATAAAGTGATGAAATCCTAGACTTATTAAGATAAGATAAGAGGTACTTTATTGATCCCAAATGTTTGTGTTGCAGCAGCATAAAAAACAACAAAACAAAACAAGGCATTGCACATAAGTAGAAATTGAAGAGTAGAAATAAACAATACTAGAATTTAAACATCTCAAAATTGAATTAAAGCAGCATTAAAAAGTAGAACATATACAGTAGGCCGTGAAGATGGGGTTAACCGTGACTGTGTTGGTTTCTCTGGTAATGAAAATGGTCATTAGATAGTTCAAACTGACCCAAGAGCAGTATGTAGTTTAGAAAGTTACAGTTTTTAAATAAGTTATTAGATAGTTCAAACTGACCCCAGAGCAGTATGTAGTTTAGAAAGTTATTTATAGAAGTTATTTATTTAATCAAACTGACCCCAGAGCAGTATGTAGTTTAGAAAGTTATAGTTTTTAAATAAGTTATTAGATAGTTCAAACTGACCACAGAGCAGTTTGTAGTATAGAAAGTTTTTTAAATAAGTTATTAGATAGTTCAAACTGACCACAGAGCAGTATGTAGTTTAGTTATATAAGTTGTTTATTTAGTTCAAACTGACCCAAGAGCAGTATGTAGTTTAGAAAGTTACAGTTTTTAAATAAGTTATTAGATAGTTCAAACTGACCACAGAGCATTATGCAGTATAGACATTTTTTAAAATAAGTTATTAGATAGTTCAAACTGACCACAGAGCAGTATGTAGTTTAGAAAGTTATTTATAGAAGTTATTTATTTAATCAAACTGACCCCAGAGCAGTATGTAGTTTAGAAAGTTATAGTTTTTAAATAAGTTATTAGATAGTTCAAACTGACCACAGAGCAGTTTGTAGTATAGAAAGTTTTTTAAATAAGTTATTAGATAGTTCAAACTGACCACAGAGCAGTTTGTAGTATAGAATTTTTTTTAAATAAGTTATTAGATAGTTCAAACTGACCACAGAGCAGTATGCAGTTTAGAAAGTTATTTAAATAAGTTATTAGATAGTTCAAACTGACCACAGAGCAGTATGTAGTTTAGTTATATAAGTTGTTTATTTAGTTCAAACTGACCCAAGAGCAGTATGTAGTTTAGAAAGTTACAGTTTTTAAATAAGTTATTAGATAGTTCAAACTGACCACAGAGCAGTATGCAGTATAGACATTTTTTAAAATAAGTTATTAGATAGTTCAAACTGACCACAGAGCAGTATGCAGTTTAGAAAGTTATTTAAATAAGTTATTAGATAGTTCAAACTGACCACAGAGCAGTATGCAGTTTAGAAAGTTATTAAAATAAGTTATTTAATAGTTCAAACTGACCACAGAGCAGTATGCTGTTTAGAAAGTTATTAAAATAAGTTATTTAATAGTTCAAACTGACCACAGAGCAGTATGCAGTTTAGAAAGTTATTAGATAGTTAAAGCTGATCTCAGAGCAGTATGTAGTTTAGAAAGTGATTAGATAGTTAAAGCTGACCTCAGAGCAGTATGCAGTTTAGAAAGTTATTAGATAGTTAAAGCTGACCTCAGAGCAGTATGCAGTTTAGAAAGTGATTAGATAGTTAAAGCTGACCACAGAGCAGTATGCAGTTTAGAAAGTGATTAGATAGTTAAAGCTGACCTCAGAGCAGTATGCAGTTTAGAAAGTTATTAGATAGTTAAAGCTGACCTCAGAGCAGTATGCAGTTTAGAAAGTGATTAGATAGTTAAAGCTGACCTCAGAGCAGTATGCAGTTTAGAAAGTGATTAGATAGTTAAAGCTGACCTCAGAGCAGTATGGAGTTTAGAAAGTGATTAGATAGTTAAAGCTGACCTCAGAGCAGTATGTAGTTTAGAAAGTGATTAGATAGTTAAAGCTGACCTCAGAGCAGTATGCAGTTTAGAAAGTTATTAGATAGTTAAAGCTGACCTCAGAGCAGTATGCAGTTTAGAAAGTGATTAGATAGTTAAAGCTGACCTCAGAGCAGTATGCAGTTTAGAAAGTTATTAGATAGTTAAAGCTGACCTCAGAGCAGTATGGAGTTTAGAAAGTGATTAGATAGTTAAAGCTGACCTCAGAGCAGTATGTAGTTTAGAAAGTGATTAGATAGTTAAAGCTAGAAAGCAGTTTCTAGTATCTAACTGTCTCTTCAGTAATAACTCTCTCTCTGGATCTCACCTTGGTGAAGGAGCTGCCCAGCTTCACGTGGGGGGTGCTGGGGAACTCCCTCTTCCTGCTCATGGTGAGCGACCCGGCGTCCAGGCTGTACAGGTTGGACATCACCAGCAGCAGGTCGGAGGACGTCTTCACCGGCAGGAAGCGGCTCCGCGGCACGTTCACTCCCAGAGCGTTGTTGAAACTCTTGATGGCCGCGCCCACCGCCGTCTCCAGCTGGATCACGTTCAGACCGCCGTCCAGAGTCTGAGAGGAGAGGGAGGGAGGGAGGGGGTGAGGAAATAAAGAGCTGTCTTCTGAAGATATACCCTGCTATCTTCAACAGTAATGTGTAATCCACAGAGAGCCTCACCTTGGGGTTGACGATGATCTCCAGGTCCAATTTGTTCGTGTCCTGCAGCCTCTTGATGGCGGGCAGAGAGATCCACAGGTTGTTGGTGTTGAAGATCTTGAACTTGGTGACGGACTTGAACTCGTCCACGTGATTCTTGGGGACCTGAGCGATCTCCAGCAGCCTCAGGTGGTCCTCGTACTGGATCAGAGTCCCGCCCTGCACACAGGAAGTACCACAGCTTTGAGACAAGAGAAGAGATGATATCTGCTTTCAACAGTTACTTCATCACTTTATTTAAAAAACATTTTGTATTATTATTTACATTTTGTATTCTATTTTGTCTTTATCTTTACCTTGTGTGAACCCTGTTTTTAACTCTGACCCTGTTGCTGCTACAAACGCCTGCATTTCCCCAAGGGGATAAATAAAGTTCCATCTTATCTTATGATGTATGCCAGATGTTAGCTCCTTTCCATCTGCAGGTACACACGTATCCATCAACAAACACAAATTACAAAGTCTTTATCACACTAACAATTATAAAACAGATGAAAGCGCGTATCTATAAAATATCAAAACCAGCACATTTATTAAAAATATACATTAAAGGGGCCTTTCCCTGCAACGCCTCCATTGGTCTCCTTCGTTTACTTCTCATCACTACGTTACACCCGACCTTATATTGGCTAGCGCTCCAACTCATGATACATGATAGGCTAAGGGGAGGGACATCTCTAAGTGGTTGACCAATCACAACAGAGCCGTCCAGCTAACCAATCAGAGCAGACTGGGCTCTGGTTTCAGACAGAGGGTGAAAAGAGGTGCTGCAGCACAGGCAGTATGAGAAAAATAAAGAGCTTTTTGAACATTAAAGCATGGAGACATGTCCCAGTAGAGCCACTACATACTGATATACACCTGAACATCAGCAGGAGAGGACTCTTTAAAGTAGAGACACTACATACTGATATACACCTGAACATCAGCAGGAGAGGACTCTTTAAAGTAGAGACACTACATACTGATATACACCTGAACATCAGCAGGAGAGGACTCTTTAAAGTAGAGACACTACATACTGATATACACCTGAACATCAGCAGGAGAGGACTCTTTAAAGTAGAGACACTACATACTGATATACACCTGAACATCAGCAGGAGAGGACTCTTTAAAGTAGAGACACTACATACTGATATACACCTGAACATCAGCAGGAGAGGACTCTTTAAAGTAGAGACGCTACATACTGATATACACCTGAACATCAGCAGGAGAGGACTCTTTAAAGTAGAGACACTACATACTGATATACACCTGAACATCAGCAGGAGAGGACTCTTTAAAGTAGAGACACTCCATACTGATATACACCTGAACATCAGCAGGAGAGGACTCTTTAAAGTAGAGACACTACATACTGATATACACCTGAACATCAGCAGGAGAGGACTCTTTAAAGTAGAGACACTCCATACTGATATACACCTGAACATCAGCAGGAGAGGACTCTTTAAAGTAGAGACACTACATACTGATATACACCTGAACATCAGCAGGAGAGGACTCTTTAAAGTAGAGACACTACATACTGATATGAACCTGAACATCAGCAGGAGAGGACTCTTTAAAGTAGAGACACTACATACTGATATACACCTGAACATCAGCAGGGGAGGACTCTTTAAAGTAGAGACACTACATACTGATATACACCTGAACATCAGCAGGAGAGGACTCTTTAAAGTAGAGACACTACATACTGATATACACCTGAACATCAGCAGGAGAGGACTCTTTAAAGTAGAGACACTCCATACTGATATACACCTGAACATCAGCAGGAGAGGACTCTTTAAAGTAGAGACACTACATACTGATATACACCTGAACATCAGCAGGAGAGGACTCTTTAAAGTAGAGACACTACATACTGATATACACCTGAACATCAGCAGAATATGTTGCTTAAGCTCAGCTGGAAGCATATTCCCCGCTCTCCCCTCACCTTGACGTCGGCCCGGGTCTTGTCGGTGACCTCCATGATGAACTCGCAGCGCCTGTCGGCCGGCTGGCTCATCAGGTGCTGGAGGATGAAGAGGTCCACGGTGGCGCCCAGGTTGTCGATGTTGGACACGAAGATGTACTCCTTCCCCTCGGAGAGCAGCTTGTCCAGCAGCCCGCTGTTGCTGAAGCTGGCGTAGACGTCCCCGTGACCCGGAGGGTACCACGCCTCCCCGTTCTGCCCCCCCGTCGACATGTTCTTAGCGATGGGCAGCAGAGACTCCTTGTTGATCCTCGGATACCTGCCGGGGGAAACATGGATAGTGTAAAAAGCTTTTCACATGGTGCGCAAAAGGGATAGAAACCAGTATTCTCATTGTATTTAGATTTGTTATTACATGTGCTTGTATTTATATGTTGATCCAGGATTCAGTGTCAAAAGCTGCATGGCAGACACAGTTGTGGTTAAACTTTGGTTTGGTGTGTGTGTGCGGTACCTGCTCTGGTTGAAGGTGTGTATGTTGACGCGGTGGTGTTTGTATTTCTGCAGGATCTTCTTCGTGTCCTCGTCCGTGTTGAAGGAGTTCATGAGGACCAGAGGAACGTCTGCGTTAAACGTTTTGTTCAGATGCTGAAAAACAAAAACAGAGTTCAGTTTAATCCTGACCCTCTGAGCTTTAAAGGTCTCCTATTATACAGTTTTTCATCAATATATTACAGGTCTCAGATATATCCAGAGCCTGTCTCTGATTGGCTGAAACACCAAACAGATCATTGCAGCATCCCATAATCCCCTCTGTTTCAGCCCTGTTTCAAAAGTGCTGATTCTCTGTCTGTTACTTTAGATGAAAATAAGGAGCCCCTCCCCACGCCCCTCTGAGAGAGATTTGGTTAGAAAGAACACAATGGTGCTCTAGGAGGAGATGCAGGTGATAAGGTGGGGGGGTTACCTTGGTTGCTGATTGGCTAATGGTTACACAAGCCAAAACATCGTTATGACATCATAAAGTGGCCAAAATCTGATCAGCTCATTTTCAGACAGGTTTTTATATAAATGGATCAGGACAAAAAGAGAGAGAATCTTTGTTCATGAAACTTTCAGAGTCTCTTTACACAGAGGGGACACATGTTGATGAAGAAGAGACATGAAGAAGAGGGGACACATGTTGATGTAGAAGAGACATGAAGAAGAGGGGACACATGTTGATGTAGAAGAGACATGAAGAAGAGGGGACACTGTGGGGTACACATGTTGATGTAGAAGAGACATGAAGAAGAGGGGACACATGTTGATGTAGAAGAGACATGAAGAAGAGGGGACACATGTTGATGTAGAAGAGACATGAAGAAGAGGGGACACATGTTGATGTAGAAGAGACATGAAGAAGAGGGGACACATGTTGATGTAGAAGAGACATGAAGAAGAGGGGACACATGTTGATGTAGAAGAGACATGAAGAAGAGGGGACACATGTTGATGTAGAAGAGACATGAAGAAGAGGGGACACATGTTGATGTAGAAAGACATGAGAAGAGGGGACACATGTTGATGTAGAAAAGACATGAAGAAGAGGGGACACATGTTGATGTAGAAGAGACATGAAGAAGAGGGGACACATGTTGATGAAGAAGAGACATGAAGAAGAGGGGACACATGTTGATGTAGAAGAGACATGAAGAAGAGGGGACACATGTTGATGTAGAAGAGACATGAAGAAGAGGGGACACATGTTGATGTAGAAGAGACATGAAGAAGAGGGGACACATGTTGATGTAGAAAAGACATGAAGAAGAGGGGACACATGTTGATGTAGAAGAGACATGAAGAAGAGGGGGACACATGTTGATGTAGAAGAGACATGAAGAAGAGGGGACACATGTTGATGTAGAAGAGACATGAAGAAGAGGGGACACATGTTGATGTAGAAGAGACATGAAGAAGAGGGGACACATGCTGATGTAGAAGAGACATGAAGAAGAGGGGACACATGTTGATGTAGAAAAGACATGAAGAAGAGGGGACACATGTTGATGTAGAAGAGACATGAAGAAGAGGGGACACATGCTGATGTAGAAGAGACATGAAGAAGAGGGGACACATGTTGATGAAGAAGAGACATGAAGAAGAGGGGACACGTGTTGATGTAGAAGAGACATGAAGAAGAGGGGACACATGTTGATGAAGAAGAGACATGAAGAAGAGGGGACACATGTTGATGTAGAAGAGACATGAAGAAGAGGGGACACATGTTGATGAAGAAGAGACATGAAGAAGAGGGGACACATGTTGATGTAGAAGAGACATGAAGAAGAGGGGACACATGTTGATGAAGAAGAGACATGAAGAAGAGGGGACACATGTTGATGAAGAAGAGACATGAAGAAGAGGGGACACATGTTGATGTAGAAGAGACATGAAGAAGAGGGGACACATGTTGATGTAGAAAAGACATGAAGAAGAGGGGACACATGTTGATGTAGAAGAGACATGAAGAAGAGGGGACACATGCTGATGTAGAAGAGACATGAAGAAGAGGGGACACATGTTGATGTAGAAGAGACATGAAGAAGAGGGGACACATGTTGATGTAGAAGAGACATGAAGAAGAGGGGACACATGCTGATGTAGAAGAGACATGAAGAAGAGGGGACACATGCTGATGTAGAAGAGACATGAAGAAGAGGGGACACATGTGAAAAAGTGGATTTTAGATACTAGGTGACCTTCAAAGGTCCGAAGGTGTGGAGGCGCTTGTTTTGAGCGTCCTCACCTCTATCTGCTGCACGGTGAGGTCCAGGAAGGTGTTCTCGTTGCGGACGCTGATCAGACTCTTGGGGCCCGTGCAGCCCATGCTGGTCCCCAGACCCCCGTTCAGCTTCACCACCGCCAGCTTGTTGAGGCTGGCTGAGATGTCGTCAGGAAGTCCCTTCATCTTGATCTTCTCGTAGGGCTGGATCTGAACACAGACAGGATTAAAGGGGCAATACGTCAGGGTCAGACTGTGGAAGGACAAGGTCAGAGGGGCTTCACAGGGGTCGCAAGGCCTTCTTGATTCAAGGGCTTTAAGACGACCTTTAAGAAACATTACTTAATTACTGTTGGCATAAACAATGTCCTTCATTTCTGTAAAAACGAAATGAAGTGAACAGGAGCAGACTGAGGAAGACAGCTTGTGTTGTTGACTCTGATTATTAACCAGCAAACTGAGATATCTCTATGTGAAATGTAACAGCTGTTTCATTGTCAACTTCATACTTCAATTGTTCTGATAAAGGAAGGTTTTTCTTTTGTTAAACGAAGAGGCAACCTTAAGAAGTGTTACCGTAATCTGCTAATTCACATGTAAAACCATAATGACTGCAATGACTCCTGATCATTTTGGGCTAAAAAGACACGAAAAGATGAATGTGCAACAGTAGACTAAACCGGAAAGAGACTTGAAGGGAACAACAGGGACAGATGGAGGTGTGAGAGCTAACATCTCAGAACATTTAAAAGTCTTAAGTTTAACTTCTTGATGTTTGTGTGTGTGTGTGTGTGTGTGTGTGTGTGTGTGTGTGTGTGTGTGTGTGTGTG